AAATTCGTTCCTCCTAGATTTAGTTTAGTTAATCTTCTCAGTATCCTAAATTTATAACATATGTTTTCAGTATTCTAGATTTAGAATATATGTTTTCAGTATCCTAGATTTAGATTAGTTAATCTTCTCAGTATCCTAGACTTAGAATATATATTCTCAATATCCTAGATTTAGATAAGTTAATCTTCTCAGTATCCTAGATTTAGAATATATATTCTTAGTATCCTAGATTTAGAATATATGTTCTCAGTATCCTGGATTTAGAATATATGTTCTCAGTATCATAGATTTAGAATATATGTTCTCAGTATCCTAGATTTAGAACATATGTTCTCAGTATCCTGGATTTAGAATGTATATTCTCAGTATCCTAGATTTAAAATATATATTCTCAGTATCCTAGATTTAGATTAGTTAATCTAAATTTAATGATATATCAGATTTGTCTATAAAATCAGCCACTGGAGGTGTAATTTTTAGTAACCATTCATTTATTAAAGAGCATAGCATCCCCCATGTCCGATTATAGAGTGGCATCCCCCATGTCTGATTATAGAGTGGCATCCCCCATGTCCGATTATAGAGTGGCATCCCCCATGTCCGATTATAGAGTGGCATGTTTCATGTCCGATTTTATAGTGGCATGCCCCATGTCCGATAATAGAGTGGCATGCCCATGTCCGATAATAGAGTGGCATGCCTTATGTCCGATAATAGAGTGGCATCCCCCATGTCCGATTATAGATTGGCATGCCACATGTCCGATTCTAGATTCTAGATTGCTTCTGTTACAAAAGGAGAACCGCAATTTGGATTAATTAATTTTGAAATGTAAAACGGGAATGACACCATCATTGGTGCCAAAACCAAGGTTGAAAGGTTGGTAATCTAAGTAACAATGTTCAATGAATGTCGTCTTCCTGTTTCACAGCTTTGTGGGTTCAATTGTAGATAATCGTTTACCTGGTATATATGATCACATGATCCTTAACATAATCATCTGGCATTGATATACAACCATTTCGTACTTCTCTACAAAATAATGTAAAATTATTTTAAGAACCCTTAATTTACAGCATCTCTTTGTTTTGTGTATTTGTCGCTGGTTGATAAAAGATTATTTGAAATAATCTAAGCTTAGGTAGAAATTCGGCATCATTGTATTGATATAAACGGCTACCACTGCAGAAATTACCAGCAACAAAAGTGTATTTTTGAACATAAATCTATTGTAACAGTGGGCGAGTTTTGTTGATCTTTTACGATCAGCAATTCAAGGATGTTTTGGATCGCTGAGATCATAGCTACCAAGGGGAATCATGCCCCCTTTCCCCCCCCCCCATCTTTAACCCTACGGTTGGACTTTAGAGTCCTATTTTGAATCCTAACGGATTTATTTGAGTTTGCATTTGGATTCTATAAATAACCCAAGCGACGCCGAATTTTCCGTTATCTTGAAGACCCAAGCGTTGGGGAGGGGGCGGAACAACCCCGGGGTAGCTAGGGTTAAATGCGATCCTAGGATGGAGCAAAATCGAAGGAGGAGAGTTAGTTGATCACCAGCTCCATTAAACTGAGGTTCCCTTGAAGAATTCCCCTATTTGATGAAACTGATTTGATTAATAATATTTAGTTTGTATAAGTGAGACGATGAAAATGAAAATGTAAAATGTCTCCTGTTTGATAGATCTGATTAGATTCACAATATCTCGTTTGTATTAGTATCGTTCGATTTAAAGTTTGTATCTTTTGTATATAAATATATTGTAAGAAAAACCGACGCGTTGAATATTTGAGAAACTCAGTGCATTGCTTTATTGATTTTTATTCATATACTATACTATTGATTAATCAATATACCTTTCTGTGACAGCCATTCTGTAATTATGCATTTGCTCCTCATCAAACTTGTCATTTTGATACAAAGCCTGAACAAATTCTCTTAAAGCTTTGAAACTATCTTATACTTTTAGCATAAGCTGTAGCTTATTAACCCTTAGATTATACTCTTAGTTTAAGCTTAGCTTATTTTTCCTTAGATTATACTTGTAATATAAGCTTTAGTTTATTTTCACTTAGATTATACTTTTTGTATAAGCTTAGCTTACTTACCCTTAGATTATACTTTTAGTATAACCTGTAGCTTATTTACCCTTAGATTATACTTTTAGTATAAGCTGTAGCTTATTTACCCTTAGATTTTAATTTAAGCATAAGCTTAGCTTATTTTCTCTAAGATTATACTTTTAATATATTAACCCTTACATTATACTATAAGTATAAGCTTAGCTTATTAACCCATAGATTATACTTTAGTATAAGCTTATCATATTTACCCTTAGATTATACTTTTAGTAAAAGCTGTAGCTTATTAACCCTCAGTTTATACTTTTAGCATAAGCTTAGCTTATTTTCCCTTAGCTTATACTTTTAGTTTAAGCTTAGCTTATTTTTCCTCAGATTATACTTTTATTGACCTTTAGATTGTATTTTTAAAATATGCTGTAGCTTATTTACCCTAATGCAGCTCTGGAACTTATATTTTCCTATGTTTTACCTTTGCAGCTTTCCTAAGCATAAGCTGTAGCTTGGCTAAGGTTCCCCACCAAATACCCGCATCTCGAGCCTTTAATCATATCTCATACATTTAACAGAAGTTATATTAGCTTTTATTTCAAATAAAAAAGAAATTACAATCAGCATACATATACCGGTTGTCCCACTAAACATTACATGTACAGAGAAAATATTTTTTCGGCATTTATTCTTCAATTTACTTTTACAAGTATAATTAGTAAAGCAAAAATCCCAAAAATCCCGAAATGAATGTGTATGCATGTGGACTGCTAAAATCAAGAACTTGTTCAAATTACAAATTTTAACTAAACACAATATTGTCTAACTTTGGTAACTTTGAAAGCATAAAAACGGCAGGCAGCAAAGACGATCTTAATTCATCTCTAAACGGACAGGTTTCGCGGGACACTCTATATACAATTATACCTTCGGATTTTTTTTTGAAAAGATCGAAAATCAAAAAAGTATTATTGAATTTTTATCAATTTATATAAAAATTTAAAAAATTATTTTGGTTGAGAAAGTTATACCTGGAGTTTAGGTTGTCTCTTGTTTAAGAAATGAACTAAATGTGTAGAAATAGGAAGTAGTATGGATTCCGGGGGTACCTGTACAGTACAAATATTAATGGATTCCGGGGGTACCTGTACAGTACAAATATTAAATGTAGAAAACTTGTCTTTTTTCAAGAAATTACTTTTTTTAAAACGAGGAACGTGTGTCCGGCTATCATAAGCCTCGCGAAAACTCTTCAAGCAGCAAAACTTTCGAAATCAACTCCGAGCTTGCCATCCTGACCTCCGAGCCGATTGCATACAATACAAGAAAAGTTTATGTCATAATTTGAACGCAATATTTAGATATCTTTAACTAATGGTGCAGTTCACACAGACCTGTTTTGCATGCTTTGTCGATTTTCAAGTTACTGGCAAAAGTGTTTGGTTTACAACAACAACAAATATGATTGATAAAATGTCGTCTTCCTAGTCCATAGGTCCCTAGCTGTATTGTTTTTACCAACCTTGTTGCTATCCTTTCTATACCATCTATCCAGTAAGGAGACATCGTTACCCATGGATACAAGAGCATCTCTAAACAGTGATACGCTATACAGAGTGTTTCATATCACATACATTTTTATTACTATTTATGTTTAAATGCAGTCCAGTAGTTTAATTTCAAGTTACCATGTACTTTTAGAGTGGCGTATCACGTTGTAAACGGTATTTTCAATTGTGTTTCCTCAACGACAAAAGTGACTTGCAGATTTGCAAGTTAAAAACATAGGGTTTCTCTCACATTCTTGATAAGAATGGGACATGACACTCTACATTCAAATTGAGGGGTCACTTGAAGTGATCTGAATAGTACCTTAGAAGTTCAAGTTCTGCTGTATCTATCTCTGAAGGTATAGGTCTGTACCCGTACTTCTGTGCACCAAAGTATATAAAGTTTGGACCCATGCTGTACTTCTGACATCCTCTTAGCTCGTTCATGCACAGTGCTGTCGTCATGTGCTCGTCTGTCATTTCGTCGCGTACTCCCCATCTCATATCAACTACCTAGGCAATTTTTTGATAATAGGACTGGGCAAAGACCTGCTGACAAATAAAATTTAACGGAAACTTCCGTTAACGAACTGAAATTCCCTTAACGAACTGAAATTCCCTTAAAGAACTGAAATTCCCTTAACGAACTGAAATTTCCTTAACGAATTGAAATTCCCTTAAAGAACTGAAATTCCCTTAACGAACTGAAATTTCCTTAAAGAACTGAAATGCCCTTAACGAACTGAAATTTCCTTAACGAACTGAAATTCCCTTAACGAACTGAAATTCCGTTAACCAACTGAAATTCCTTTATTGAACTGAAATATCCGTTGATTTATTAATCAAGAAATAAACGAAAAGAATTTTTAATAATTCCAATCATTAAAGAATAATTTTGTTCACTATGCGCCATAACGCGACCAACATTAAACATGTATTATTCTCATTTTAGGCCAAAAACCTGTCTTGCAATGTCTTAAAACCTGTCTTAAAAAACATTTTTGAAAGAAAGATCTGTTAAAAATGATAATATTTTCTTGGTCGAATATTTTAATTCTGTTTAAACAATGTTTACAAACAAATAAAAGTTTTTAACAAGCTAATTGAGAATATACATTTTTAACAGCTTTGAACTAAACGCATTAAATTTTTTTCATTCTGAAGTTATAGTAATTCACTTTATTAAAATAAACACTTCTAAAAACATAATTTATAATACTAAATTTGATTAATACATTTTTATACAGTGATAACCAGAAAACTCTGTAATAAGAAGACGACTTTTAGAGTCAAGTTTTAACTTTAAATAGTTCATTGAGCATGAGACACAGCTATGGTGCATTGTAGACAGACCTATTTCACTTAATTAGTGACTTTATAAGTTCTTCTTAAACTATTTGCTTTGTAAAAACTTCAAATACGCTTAAGTATTGCTATAAAGTCGTCTTTCTCCAGAGTTTTCTGGTTACCACTGTACTCCTATATCTATATACTCCCTGCAGTAATCATAGATACCTGGTACTACAGTCAATGTTTTTCCCTAGTTCTCCTAGATACCTGGTACTCCAGTCCATGTTTCTACCTGCAGTACTCCTAAATACCTGGTACTCCCCTCCATGTTTCTCCTTGCAGTACTGGTGCTGAAGTCCATGTTTCTCTCTAGTACTCCTAGACACCTGGTACTCCAGCCCATGTTACTCCCGTAGTACTCCTAAATACCTGATACTCCAGTCCCTGTTACTCCCTGCAAAGTACTCCTAGATACCTGATACTCCAGTCCCTGTTACCCCCTGCAAAGTACTCCTAGATACCTGGTACTCCAGTCCATGTTTCTCCCTGCAATACTCCTTGATCTTTGGGTAGACGTATTCCATCAACGTGTTCCTCTCCATCAACATGTCCGTGAAGGTTGAGCTTGTGAATATCCGCACAACCTTGAAAAATGAAGATTATGCAATCGTAGAAAATAGTGTCCTGCGAATATACGAACATAAAACTCAAAAAATCTAGGTCCTGCTTTTTTCGAATAATGGATTAAGAATTAAAAGGAATAGAAAATTTGTTGTATATATATCTTTGTATTTATTCAGGTGATTTCCCAAAGGCATTTTCCCAAGTGCAACTTCTCAAGTAACAATTTCCCAAGTGGAAACTTCCCAAATGTGCAATTTCCCAAACGGCTACTTTTGAAAGGTTGGGTTAGGCCCTCTGAGGCGCCCTAGATTGCAAATGGGGGCAAGCGCTGCGGCTAGGATGGGCTAAGGGGCAGAGCAATGCGGCTAGAACAGGCTAGGTGGCGAGCGCTGCGGCTAGAACAAACTTGGGAAGTTGCCGCTTGGAAAATTGCACAGTTGGGAAGTTAGCACTTGGGAAAATACCCTTGGGAAGTTGCCGCTTGGGGGAAAATCTTTAGGAAAGTACCTAACATCTTATTTTATTTTATCATTTTATGTATTTGTGTTCTGTATAGTATCTTTTAACATTTTGATGAAGGAAATAAATCAAAAAAAAATTATCTTCTTAAAGTTTTCTCACGCACTCTAATTTCGAATACCTTTTGGGTTGCCCCCGAAGGCTGAGAGTATAAAGATAACATAAAAACCATCTGATAAGAAAACCCCAAGGTTAAATTAAATTGTTTTTTGGTTGTACAAAGTCCTTTAGTGGCTTATTTAATGATTTCGCAAATAAAGGAACAAGTTTACAATTGCAGAGAAGGGTGAATTTAAGAGGAATACAGTATAAAGTCTGCAATCTGCATGCAGTCGTTTCTGAAGTCTTATCCTTTGTGGATAATCCTGTATATGATCGAATCCTGTATATGATCGAATGCTTCTAAAATGTCAAATGTCAAATGTAAAGATTATTTTTGAAAGGTAATTTGTTGAATCATAATACCAAAAAAAGTAATAATGACAAATAAAAAAGTCTTTTTTAAATCTTTGTGCATTAAGAAACAGATCTGTAATCATTACTTTTGAGCTGAGTGGTGGAAGATCATCAAGATTTCCCGCGAAAATTCTGTCAACTGTTGCTTCATCTCGCGGCATTTTCTCTTATCTGTACACTGAACAGTGTACATGTACCAGCTGTACTGTACTTTTTTACGATCTACAAAAATTTCTGAAATCATGTAAAATGAAAATTTCCACAAAAAAATCTTTAAAATTATGTTTTTCTTTATGGATGCATGATACAACTTGATTTAGAAATTTTTAATTCTTGAGGTGAATTTTGTAACGTGGAATGGGAAAATATAATTTACGAATTTTGAATATTTCTGAGACCAAAATCATATTTTTTCAATAAATTACCATAACCAATTTATACGAGTAATTATCTCAAATTCGTAATAAGTAATGTAAATAAAACAATGCTCGCGTCCTCTAAACATATTTTTTTGTAATGTTGAAATACTTTTATTCATTATTTATTTCTTCTTACAAAGTGAAAACTTTAATAACCACCGCCACAAAAGATTTCATGATTAATAAATTATATAAGTCGGGGAAATATAAGGAGGGGGGGGGGATACAAGTAAAAGAAGGGGAAACTAAATTAACTGCATAATATTATATATTATGGGGTGTTTGGAGAAGGGAGGGGAATAAAAATAGTTTGGAAGTACGGGACAGCCATAAATATTTTTGCAACCTGATGCATTATACTGTAAACCTTTGATTTTTCAGACTTTGAGTATATTGACTTTGAAATGAATGCATGCAAAGGTATTCTACATCAAGTTTAGTAAATTAGAGTTTGAGGCGAGTAGTCAGTTCCTTTACACCACTCTAAAAAATGCATGATTCGTGCCGGTATACAACACGTACTGTATATGTACTACATGGCTACTACTATATGGCTACCCATTGATCAGTGTAGAGTCGACCCAGCACGTTTTTTTGCACCAAATACAGCCTTGCAAGATCACAGTGCCGTTCTTTTAGTAAATATGTGTGTAGATACAGGGTGTCCCACGAAACATGACAGTTGGAAAATAGTTTGGAATGTCGTCAAACATACAATGTATTAGAAATTAAAGGCTGTTTGCAGTTTATTTTGTTTTCGCTCAAGTATATTTTACTTTGAAATTAATTTTACTATAATATGACTCCTAAATAATATTTTTATTCTTGTCTTTGATATGAAACAACTTAACAAATTATGGAAGAAGACATTCTAAATTATTTACCAACTGTCATGTTTCGTGGGACACCCTGAATATTGAAAGTTTTGTTAAAAAGGGAATCCGACAGGGTGATTAAAAAACGGGACAAGAACTGTTTTAAACAAATGAAAAACATATAATAAAAATCAGCGAAAATTGTTAGTGTAAACCTTCACATAATCTTAAGATATAAACCTTTAAAAATATATTTAAAAATGTAATAGAGGTTTATGATACTTTAGCCATATTTACCATAAAATATTTTTGGAGTCAAACTTTATATAAACAAGACGTATAGAAACGGGATAGTATATATTTTACCTAAAACATAAACCATGCAAACATTTGTATATAGTGTTTTGTAAAGCAGCGCCAATCACGGTTTTTTTTACCATTTTTACAATGATGTAACATGATGCTTTTTTATGCATATATATTAGAAACCAAATAGTTTGTTCATAACTAACTAAAAATTAGTATGCATCGGTGCTTATTTTTCAATCCAATAAATTACTCAATTAACATTGTTTAACAGTTCGGGTTTAAGTAATATCTTAATGTTCAATTGACGAATTGAAAATGAATAGATTTAAACAATATTTTTTAATTTTTACAAACTTCTTATCATTAACATAACTTTGTCCAACTCTATTCAAGAGGGAACATGAATACATGGTATACATTATACAACTATAAGAGAGGGGAATAAAGGAGGGGAAATCCAGGGAAAAATAAACAAATAATTATAATGCAGAAAAGTTGAATGTTTTGAATATAGGAAAAGGGAATAAATACTAAAATATCTGCAGTTTGGTGCAATATTAATTTTAAAACTGGATCAGTTTTCATCAGTCATATTATTAGTTTTGACGATTAAAACATTTAGAAAAGATAATTTTTAAAATCTTAAAAATCCGTTGATAATAAAACAATTTAGAGGCAAAAAACTGATATTTAAATGATACCAAATTTGGCATATTTTGACTAAATTTTATTTTTTAACGAAACAAAAAAATCGACCGTTTTCACCGGCTCCACGGCATCTTTTAATACAAAATTCGAAGTTTTTTTACAAGTGACTTTTTATAATTTTGAAATGCTAAATATCAATTGTTGTTACAGTTTTTATGCCGATGAGCCTAAAATTCAGCAAATATTCTTGTTTTAACAGGCACATGCTATCTATGTAAAGGAAGACGGGGGGCCAAATTCTAAAAAAAAGTCATACATTGATCACCCGTACTGTACAACAGTGTATAATTCAAGGAACTAATGCAAGGAAAGTTAATTGCGGTCGCGTATACTCTGCGTACATATTGAAACCAGTTCTCTCTGGGCGGACTTTGTAAACAAGAATAGATGCATCAGTGTTTGTTTATTATCTGAGGAGGTTAAATGCATTTAATTTTGATAATTTTTGAAAATTCACATAATAATTTCCTATGACCAGAATAGTTCATAGATTATTTTTGTGAAAATGGATTCCATGTCAGGCTGTAACATCCGTCTTGTGTTTACTTTTCCGCCCAAAGACAGTACAATGCAGTAAAAAAAAATGCGTACACCTCTGAAATAACTTTCCTTGTATTAGTACCTTGGTATAATTAAGGTTATAAACGTTATTAACAGTTCTGTTTATTCTCCTTGAACCAAAACTACATTAAATCCTTGAAATAGATTTGATTGACATTTTTCTCAATTATTGACAGAATTTGTTTTTGTTTTGTCCAGGGTAGAGGCTAACGGTAAACTGCAGACTGCAGACCAGCAACCTTGAATCTTCACCGGGATATAAAACTAGGGCTGGACAAACTTATTAATGCAAGATTTAGAAAATTAGCAGGAAGAAATTGAAACTCAAATTACTAATCCCTATATCATGCTATGTAACCTGAGCTGAAAACTTTAGAATGGTGGATATCTAGAATAATGCTTGATCCTCTCTTTTTCATATTATCGAGACTTACCTAATCTTGTACTTGTATCCTGAAAAGTGTATAAAATTCAACCAATCAGAGTCACAAATATGAAGACGATAAATTAAAAATTTTGCGCGCCATTTAAGTTTATATACAGAGACGGGAGGGAGTCTATAATTTTAAAAACCCGGTTTTTCATTTTTTCTCTACTATATCCAAGAAAGAACGGTTTAAGAAAAAAATCAAAAGTGTGTCCATTGGATACTCAGATTAAGTAGTCGAGATTAAGGATATCTCATTCTAAAGTTTTCAGCTCTGATGGTATAAACCCTTCATATTTCAAACTTAGATTGTTTGATCTAGCAGAATAGTTTGAAATATCTAAAATCTACAATATTAGGTTGCAAAGATATGCAGATTAGAAAAGACTCAATTTCTTTCCATTGACAAATGGAAGAAACTACCATGTTCGTATTAGTTTAAAGAACTGTAATTCAAAACTTAATCTTCTACTTGTATCCTGAGAAGTGTATAAAATTCAACCAATCTGCAGAGTCGCGTATAAGAAGCTTATAAATTTGAAATTTTGCGCGCCATTTAAGATTAATATAATTAATATACAGAAACGGGAAGGACTCTTAATTTTTAAACACCGGTTTTTGATTTTTCTCTACTATACCCCAAAAAAAGTGGATTCAGCAAGAAATCAAAAGTGTCCACATTGGATATTCGGATTAAGTAGTAGGGATTAATGGTATCCCATTCTAAAGTTCCCAGCTCTGATGGTATAAACCCTTTATATCTCAAAAGTACTTAGATGTTTGATCTAGCAGAATTAATAGTTTAAAATATCTAAAGTCTACAATAATAGGTTGCAAAGATATGCGGATTAGAAAAGACTCAATTTCTTTCCATTGACAAATGGAAGGAACTACCAAGTTCGTAATCGTTTAAAGAACTGTAATTCAAAAGAAAGTTTCGTTAATTTATCCTATTCCAAACCAGACATATGTAAAATATGTACTTTTTGGAACTCAAGACAGAAAAGTTGCCGAGATTAAGAAGGCCTAACTTCCAAACAATTTCGTTGTAAATTCTATTCCTGATGTGAACTATAATGAACTTGGAATCTCTTGGAATTTAAGACTGAAGCATTTCATTAAATTTATAGTAGGGTTAGTCAAAATTATGTTAATGAAGAAAATTCCATGAAAACTAGGATTTTCCTTCTGAAATAACTATTTATTTTCAAGCCACCATTTTTTCATCAAACTTAAATGAAAACAAATAATTTCGTGGATTTTTCTGTTTGAATTTTAAAAATGGTAAAAGTCAACACTTTTTTTCAGTTGTTTTGAAGTTTATTGGAGACTAAAAACCAGAGAAGTCAAAATATAAATTTATTAATAGAAAATTCTTTAAATGAACGGAGAGAATTACCATTTTACTAAATGGAAACGCATTGACTCTTCTTCTCGTCAGGACATTAGGAGAAAATATACGCTAGATTCTCACGTGTGTATTTAGCTTAATCAACTACACTGATCATTGTTGTTATTAGGTGCAGTACGTGGAAAAGGGAAATGAAAATAAACCAAAATTTCCTGGGGGAGGGGGGGGGGTGATTTTGTTCATGGTCTATTTGGGTTATAAAAAGAATTAATGGCCATGTTCATTACGTAAATATAATATGTAACCGGTATACCAAGTAGATGCCCAGCCCTAGATATATACAGACCTTGAGAAACTGGAACCCTTGAAATTATTGAAAGATAAAATTATTCAAGCCTTGATAAAATAAAATAAAGTAAAAATATCTTTTAAATATGACAAGATAAAGGTGTAATAGAAAAGTAATTTATCTAGTTAGGGGTTTAAACCCTTATATTCATATATGGAAGTAAAAGTTTCATCTCCAAATTGAAAGATGGGAAAATTGCGCATTATTCGTTTTACTAGGTTACTGCACTTTAATCCTCTCTGAGTAGCAATGAATAATATATCTTCGTTTTGCTTTATAAAATGTTGAATTATGTTTAATTCATTCATTGATTCTGTAGAATTAATTCGCAAACCATTTCACAAGAGAAACCTCAATTAAAATGTAAAATAAGGATGTCTCAATCCTCCTCGATAGAAAATGGTTTGGATATCACACAGAGAAAAGGGGTTCAATAAATAATGATATTCATCATACAATATATATTTGAAATAAATTCTAACTTTTGTAAACAAAAACACATTACGATCCTTATCCAAAGGTTCACATTCAAATTATATACCCTCTTAAAGGGACTGTAAAGGAAAAATGAAAAGGGGGTATAGGATGAAACCTGAGAATCTCAGGTGTTGAACGATACATATAAGACATCTATGTGACGTTGCTGTCTCGAGAAATTGATTTAAAACTGTGTCAAATTTATACAAAAATTCATATATGTACAATTTTCATTTTTCCTTTAAAGTCCCTTTAACCATCTATTATAGAACAATTGAAAAGGCATATATCGTAAAAATAAAACGAGTATGACTTCTAAGCTTTACGTCATTTGTAATGCCTGTACGTACAGTGATAACCAGAAACAATGGAATAGCCAGACGAAATTGTAGCAATATTGTATTCGGTGTTGTCAATTACTGAAATGCATCTGTTTACACTGCACAATTGCTGTGTCTAAAGCTCATTGGAATTTTTATAGTAATAACTTGATTCTAACAGTCGTTTTCCCATTTCAGAGTTTTCTAGTTATCACTGTAAGTTAACTTTTAGTTTACACACTTTGTCATCAGATAAATATCAAAACCAAAGACGATCTTTAGGTCGTCTATTTTATTATCATGTTAAGTGAGACCCCCAGTATATCCTGACTCTTACTGAAACCATGTCTACCCACAAACTGAAGGTAATATTCCCTCTTCAATCCTTTACTATCTTTCTCTCTACACTATCCTCCATTTTGGGTTTGTTCACAATTTGATCAGAGTTTAAGAAAATTCATAGAAAAAGAGTGAAAATACGTTTTCAGATTATTGTACTTTTATAATGATAATAAATGTTAAAGATTATTACAACGAACAAAGTTTTAACGTATTAAAGGGAGTGACCGGCTATGTAAGGCAGTTGAACGTCGAATTTGCGCTCAAACTGAGGATTTACATACATATCTTAAAAAAGTTTAATATGTCTCAAGAAGTTTTCCATAACACTGCAATACTCAGTTCAACAACCTTACATAGCCTGTCACTCCCTTTAACTCTTTAACCTTAATTAACTAAATATGGAAAGAAAATTGTGAACATTTTTATTATTTAATTATATTTTAGGCTTTTTTTAAAAGACTTTTTAAGCCACGGTTTTAAGGAATTCAAGTTAAAAGTAGAGTAAATTTGTTCTGTGCTATAACAATTGTAGCTAGAGTTCATGGCTATAACTATTACCTTATAACTTTCATGTGATTTTTTTCTCATGAGTTAATTTGCTGTGCTGAGCCTAAATGTCGTATTAAATTTGTGTATAAATCTCTAAATTCGGACACAAATATGCATTTATTTTTGCTTTTCCCTCTTATCCCTTTTCCTTCCATTTCTGTTTTCCCCTTTCCCCCTTTTTTTCCTGCTTTTCTTTGTCTCCCCTTTTCTTCCTACTTTCCCTTGTTTACGTTGGTTTCCTTTTTTCCTTCTTTCCTTTTTCTCATTTCTCCCTTTTCCCCAATTCTTTTCCTGGTTTTCATTGTCTGCCCCTTTCCCTTCTTGTACCCTTTTCCTCGTTTTCCTATTTTCCTCTTTTCATTTTCCTCTTGTTTTCCCCTTGTTTTCCCCTTGTTTTTCTATATTTCATTTTTTCTTTCTCTTCCTTCTTTTCATACTTTCTTCTTTTCCTTTTTTCTTTCCCCCTCTTCTCCTGCTCTTACCTATCTCTCCCTCTTCTTACTCTTCCTAATTTTCCTTCTTTTTCTTATTTCTTCTTTTAATTTTTTTTTAATTTTCTTCACTTTTTCCTTTCTTTTCCTGCTTTTCTTTCTCTATCCCTTGCCTATCTTTTTCTTTCTTTTACTTGTATCCTTCTTTTACTTTTATCCCTCTTTTCCTCATTCTTTTATTCTTTTCCTTCCTTCCCTTTTTGACCCCCCTCCCCCAAATGTTTGTAAGTAGTATTTTTTAATAATTTAATCACCCCTCTACAAAGACGATATAAATAAATTTTAAAAATTAGTTGCGGCATTCAGAGCTGCGTGTATCGTTTTCGTTTGCGGTGGTAGGTAAGGTACAGTTGAGTATGACCAACAGCCGGAAAGTTTTCATATTAACCTCTGACACTCAGAACTATGCTTCATTTAAAAACATTTACTTAAAATTTTAATTATGAGCAAGCATTTCATTATTTTTCATCATTCGTTCACTGCTTGGTGAACTATTTACTCTCGAGCGACGACTTAGTTTGATCAGTTTATTAATTTAACACTACAAAGATCAGAGAAAGACATTGTCGAATTTTTTTCAGAATTGACGATGATTCATAGTTTGTTTATGATAAATCAGTCCGGAGATGTTTTCTTGGAGAAGCATTGGAAAAGTGTTATTTCAAGATCAATCGTCGACTACTTTTTCGATGTTCAGAATAAGGTAGGTTAACAGATAGTTCCTTTTCTTTCCAGGGAAGAGGCAATGGGTCTGTCCTAGAGAACGATTTTTGGACCCCCCCCCCTCCTATTAATTTTGTGCATGACCACTATTTTCAACTAAGTTAGTTTTTATTTAGGGTTAGGTTAGGTGAAGACACTTTCTGGGCCGAGTGCTGCGGCTAGGACAGGCTAGGGGTAATTTCAACAATGTTCAACAAAATTAGTATATATTTAGGGTTAGGTTAGATAAGACACATTCCGGGCCGAGCGGATAGGCTAGGACAGGCTAGGACAGGCTAGGACAGGCTAGGACAGGCTAGGATAGGCTAGGACAGGCTAGGATAGGCTAGGACAGGCTAGGATAGGCTAGGACGCTGCCGCCACATTTCCAACTCTGCCCATGAAACACATAATGAATTGGTAGGGGAGGGGTGGCTAAAAGCATTCTCTTGGAAATTACCGATACGCATTAAGCATTTTGTTTTAAAAAATTATTATAGGTTGAGTCTCCTGTAGATATTCCACCTGTAATAGCAACACCTCATCATTATTTAATATCAATTTACAGGTAACGAATTGAAATATATTTTATGCAAATTATTGTTTCGACACAAGTTACATCAAAGTGAAAGTAAACAAACCCCTAAACCTGTTTTACTCAGTTCATTTGTTTTACAGAATTTGGCGTATTATACGAAACAAATTTTTTATTGGAGACCTTTTTATCCCGTGAAGAATGGAAAACGGTGGGGAGGTGTTTTGAACAAAATTCATTACTCACTCATTTCTAGATGTAACCTGCACCTGGTGTGTGTTTGTATGACCGAGGTTCCTCCTCTCTTCGTTGTCGAGTTTCTTCATCGAGTTGTAGAAACTTTTGAAGACTACTTTGGCGAATGCTCGGAATCTGCTATCAAAGTAATCCAGAGCATATTAGAAGGGGGGGGGGGGTGTTACTAGTTTTATACTTTAAACAATGCGTTTCATATCGTTTTTACGTAGATGATCATTATGTCTTTACACGTTGAGTCAGTATGCCCAGAGCGTATTTTTTTTCAATATGTTATTAGCTGAATTTGGGAAGTTAAAAGATTTATTTTGGTGTATCTTCGGATGGAAAAACTTGCCTTTTGTTTGATTTTTCAGTCAAATCTCATTCCCCCCGGGGGGAGGGGGGGTTGATTCTTTCGTATAATTTGAAATAAAACCAATATATTATTTCTTTGGTTTTCTTTCTCTTTATTTCTAAACTCAAAATGTTAATATAGCAACATTTTTAAATTCTAACCGGCCACATAGATCATTTGAGTACCACAGAATTAATTGGGAAAAGAAATGTACTAAGCCAGATATTTGTTCATAGATTGTAAAATCTAGGAGAATTATGTATTAGTGTATAATCTAGGATAAATCTAGGAGATTATGTAGTAGTGTATAATCTAGGAGAACTATGTTGTAGTGTATGAGTTATAAATCTAGGAAAAGTATGTATTAGTGTATAATCTAGGATAAATCTAGAAGAATTATGTATTAGTGTATAATCTAGGAGAAATCTAGTAGAATTATGTATTAGTGTATGAGTTATATATCTAGGAAAATTATATATTAGTGTATAATCTAGGAGAACTATTTAGTAGTGTATGAGTTATATATCTAGGAGAAATATATATTAGTGTATAATCTAGGAGAACTATATAGTAGTGTATAAGTGTATAATCTAGGAGAATTATGAATTAGTGTATAATCTAGGAGAACTATGTATTAGTGTATAATCTAGGAGAACTATATAGTAGTTTATTAGTGTATAATCTAGGAGAATTATGTATTAGTGTATAATCTAGGAGAACTATGTAGTAGTGTATAATCGAGGAGAACTATGTAGTAGTGTATTAGTGTATAATCTAGGAGAACTATATATTAGTGTATTAGTGTATAATCTAGGAAAATTATGTATTGGTGTATAATCTAGGAGAACTTGTAGTAGTGTATAATCGAGGAGAACTATGTAGTAGTGTATTAGTGTATAATCTAGGAGAACTATATATTAGTGTATTATATAATCTAGGAAAATTATGTATTGGTGTATAATCTAGGAGAACTTGTATTAGTGTATAATCGAGGAGAACTATGTATTAGTGTATAATCTAGGAGAACTATGTATTATTGTATAATCTAGGAGAACTATGTATTAGTGTATAATCTAGGAGAACTATATAGTAGTGTATTAGTGTATAATCGAGGAGAACTATGTAGTAGTGTATGAGTTATAAATCTAGTATGCATTAGTAAGTATGTATTAGTGTATAATCTGGGATAAATCTAGGAGAACTATGTATTATTGTATAATCTAGGAGAAATATGTATTATTGTATAATCTAGGAGAACTATGTATTTGTGTATAATCTAGGAGAAAAATGTACTAGTGTATTAGTGTATAATCTAGGAGAACTATGTATTAGTGTATAATCTAGGAGAACTATGTAGTAGTGTATAATCTAGGATAACTATGTAGTAGTGTATAATCTAGGAGAACTATGTAGTAGTGTATAATCTAGGAGAACTATGTAGTAGTGTATGAGTTACTAGACGAGATGTTGGATAACGGATACCCACTTGCAACCGAGGCAAACATTCTCAAAGAGATGATAAAACCACCGAATATACTGAGAACTGTAGTCAACACTGTTACAGGTATAGTTTATACCCCTGATTTTTCTGCATAAATTGTGTAATTAATACTCACATTATTTCTTTCCTCCTCTTTTATCAATCACTTGAATAGTCCCTATTTTAAGCAAATTTTTTCTTCGCGTTTCTCATGATCTCAATTCTCAAAGAAAATTTACGGTTGGTCAAACTAAAAAATGTTGTGGGGGAAAAAATGTCGACTTTAATGATTTTTAGAAAATCCACTAGAAATATCCGCGTCAAAGCCTTGTTTATTCATATAACATAAATATATTTATTTCATCACTCTCCTTTACAAGATAATTGTAGGAAAGTCGAATGTGAGTGATGTTCTTCCCACGGGTCAGCTTTCTAATATACCTTGGAGGAGAGCTGGGGTCAAATATACCAACAATGAGGCATACTTTGATGTTATAGAGGTAACAGGGGTTTATTTTTCTTTTCTGGGGGGGGGGGGGTGATTAATAAAAGTGGTTGAGACTCCAGGCCGCTATCTGCACGGTGGTGCATGGTGCCCTGAAGGCAGTCTTGGGGTTCCACATTGGGTTCCCTTTAAACTTCATTTGATTTGAAAGATCGGATCCTTCGAAACTGAGGAGAAATTAAAATAGCTTCAACAATATTGACCATAGGGCAATTAACAGAGGTCAATATGGTCTTATTTCCAAGAAATAAACCGTTTAATGTTAACTTTTTTTAAAATTTCTGATTACCAATTGAGAAGCGCTCATGCTGCTAAGCACGTTTGCGTGGCGTTTGTTTACTTCAGCACTCCCCCCTCAATAGACCGGCATGTCCGATTCACATATTTTTATTTCTAAAAAATTGTTTATTTTCCATTGTGGGTTAAAGTGTATTTGATGTACAGGAAGTTGACGCTATTATTGATAAACAAGGAGGCACTGTTAGTGCAGAAATCCATGGATATATAGGTACTTGCATCTTTGCTTTTAATTTAGTGTTTTAATTTTTTTTTGTTGCAAATTTTAAATAGATTGGAGCCAGATCATAATTTGTAGCAAAATTTAATATGAAATGTAAATTAACGTTCGATAGTGCCATTTAAACTTTAGAAATTTTTTTTCTTCATTATTTCGCCTGAGCACCAGAAATAATTCTGAAATATATTTACCACTGAGTTTGCTTTCTCGTCTCTGCCTAAGAAATCAACAACCCCCTATCTACTAGAATTCCGGTAAACAGGTTTGAACAGGTTATGTTTGGAAATTTGATATGGCTCTCACCATAGATTTACGATCCTTTTGTTTTTAGACTGCGCGGTCAAACTGACGGGAATGCCAGACCTGACAATGAGTTTCGTAAATCCTCGTCTTTTTGATGATGTATCATTTCATCCTTGTGTTAGGTAAAGATTCAAATTAAAAATATCGAAACTGATCAGACAACCAAGTTTTTTTATAAGATTTTTTTTACAGATCCAATCCTCTTATAATCCTCTTATTATGCAAGTCCCCCTCCCCCTTTCTTCCGAAAAATATACTACAGGAGATTATATTATTCCAGGCTAGGTCGGGTTAAGAAAGATAGGTTATGACGGGCGGGTGTACTTACTCAAAACAAGTACTAAGTTAAATTAAATTTTTAAAAAGTATTCTCTTCAGGTATAAGCGATGGGAATCAGATCGTATTCTTTCATTTGTTCCTCCTGACGGTAACTTCAGACTCTGCAGCTATCATATAGGTAGGTTGGAGGACATACAGAGCGCCTCGTATCATATTGGATTATCTCCAAGCTTTAACCTCAAAATACGCACACAAACCAGCAGAACATTTTTAAATGAATGTATAATGTTTTGTAGAGTAGGTTAGTAAGTCATAGTTGAATAATTAGTTTAGAATTAGGTCCGTGATTGCCATACCAGTTATATCCGGTTTTATCCGGTATTTCTTAAGAAGTTTTTCTGTTGCTATACCAGATTATATCCGGTATTATCTAGAAAGTGGGTCCGTGGTTGCTATATGTCTATATCCGGTATTATCTAGGAAGTGGGTCTGTGGTTGCCATACCAGTCTATATCCGGTATTATCTAGGAAGTGGGTCCGTGGTTGCTATACCAGTCTATATCCGGCAGAATATATCCTGGCAGGGTGGAACTGTAGGAAAGCTGGATATGACAGTTGGACCTAAACAAACAATGGGGCGTACAATAGAACAGGTATAAGTTAAAGTCTTGGTTACATTCACTCAAATTACATTTAAGACATATGGCCCGTTTCACTGTACTTTTCATTAAAGCCTAAATAATAAGTAGATATTGTTTCCCCTTTGCAATTGAAATAGTTTACTAACTGTCTTAGTGCCCCAGATTAAGATATAAACAAACACTCTCCCCACCCCTTAAAGGGACTATAAGTTTAATTTCAAGAAAGCCTTCATACAAAGATGGAAATGCTCCATTCAAAACGGTACCTAGTCGATTTTCTACGTTTAAAATGTTGTGAATCTTTGTATGAAGGGTCACTTGAAATTACGTTTACAGTCCCTTTAAGGCCTATGTTTAGGTTAAAGTTGAGATCCCGATGCCCAAATCTGTTCTTAACTGTACCCTCATCGCATCTCAGGTAGACGCATCTTGTCTCAACAGAGACGAAAATGTTTTTAAATAATCATTCTTCCCTTCATTATAATGGAAATGTATTTTTATAGGAAGATATATTTTGTTGATCCTTAGCATTAAGCATTGGATGTTTCCCGTTATTATTTTAACTACTCAAATTCCACAGATTTTTTTTATATACCATTATAATATTTGTAGGGAAAATATTCTTTTGATCCTGTGAGCAAGATTCTGGTGTGGGATGTAGGAAAAATAGATCAGACAAAGCTTCCTAATATCAGGTAGGGTAGGATCTTTCTAATATCAGGTAGGGGAGGATCATAGTTTTCTAAATACAGGTAGGGTAGGATCATAGTTTCCTAATATCAGTAGGGTAGAATCATAGTTTTCTATTATCAGGTAGGGTAAGATCACACTTTCCCAAGTCCAGATAGGGGAGGATCATAGCTTTATTATGCGGTAGGGGAGGATCATAATTTCCTAATATCAGGAAGAGGAAAATCAATGCTTTCTAATATTAGGTAGGTTGAACCTAATTAAATGGTTATGGAAGACAAGCTTTTTTTCTCAGTTTATTCTTCTCATTTTAGGTCTTTTCCTCTCTTATTTATCTCAATTGCTTGATTGTTCAATATTGTAATTAAGAGTAAGAATAAACACCCTTGGGCTGCTGATTGCTGAAGGATTTTCAGAGGAACCTCGAATCTTCTGGTAGTTCCCCGGCAGCTACTAATCCAACTATTAATGTTTCAGAGGAACTGTGAATCTAGTAGTTCCCCAGCAGCTACTAATCCAACTATTCATGTTTCAGAGGAACTGTGAATCTAGCATCTGGTAGTTCCACAGCAGCTACTAATCCAACTATTAATGTTTCAGAGGAACTGTGAATCTAGCATCTGGTAGTTCCCCAGCAGCCACTAATCCAACTATTAATGTCAAGTTTGCTATCTCACAGCTTGCTGTATCAGGACTCAAGGTTAACAGGTAAACAACAAATATGGAAATTATTGTCACTAGAAAATAATAACTATCACTCTCTTTAAAGATTAAATTGCTTGTGTAAATAATCCAATTGTTTTCACGCATTTCTAAATCAATAGATGTGTTATCTATACTTAATAACTTTAAATCATAATTGTCTGAGTTACACGAAAGTGAATACTTACTCCTACCAAATAGACAAAACCCCTCCAATTGTATGAACCAACAATTATCTTGTTAAAACAAGGGTCATGTTAATTGAATTTTATAAAGAAAAATAAGCGAAAATAAGAATACCCGACATCAAAATTAAGATCCATAAAAATTAATTTTCAAATCTTTGACACATTAAGTGGTGATGCTTTTTCTCCTTTAATTAAAAATGTGCAGAAATAATTTGTAGAAAATTCACGAAATTTACTAAATACCCAATATTGTATTATTCTAGGTTGGATATGTACGGGGAGAAGTATAAACCCTTCAAGGGAGTCAAGTATATCACCAAGGCTGGCAGGTTTCAGGTTCGGATGTAGATCATATCTAGACATACCAAGACAGGGGTATATATATTCCTGTAAAATTGCCCTCCTCCTCACTTCTCCTCTCCTGAAAATACTAATTGGAATGTTTCGCGTGTGATTTTGAACTTGTAAAAGAATGGTTTCTCTAAAAAAATCTATAGTCTTCAAGTCCTAATTTAACTTCTTTTCCAAAGCAAAAAATTGACTGAGCGTAATTTTAAGTGGCCCTTCAGACCTCCTTCCATGCAACGATGGCAATTGCCCGATTGTAAGATGAAAAATACAAGAAATTTTTATATTACAAGATCTTGAACTTACATATTTCATAAATGTTAGTCAAAACAATTTTTATATTTTAATTAGAATTCTTATTTTTTTGGCAGAATTTTTAGATCTGAAAAATTTAGTCCAATTTTATATATTAAAATTTTGTATTTACAAAATATATATGTTTAGGGGAGGTTTTTGTAACTTTATAATCAAATTGTCATTTGGAGGGGGTAATTGAAGCAACCTTGTTAGATAAAGTTGAATTAAATTTTATTATTTACATATAAACAAATTTGCATTTACTCTTCTGCTGTTAATGTAGAAAATACGACATCTCCCCCAACCATTGATTTTGATCTTTTTTTTTCTTAACTTATAGTATTACAATTTAAAATAATGTTTGTTTAACGTGATTAAATGTGATACAAATTTATATATTGTTATTACCGTTTTTACCTTTTCATAATTATTTAATTTATTTTCGTTAAATCACAGGCCAGACTGAAAGTAAAAAATAAGACACTATTTTTTGCATTTTACATTTTATAATAAACTAGGCGAAGCGCATCTTCTTTTTCAACGTTTAATTGTGGCTTTATCTGTCAGCTTCTTATCTTTGTACAGTATACATTTTTTAACATATTTGCGGATTTTATAATATTTTTTTTCGCACATTTTCAAAATTTTACAAAACTAAATAGTTTCAGATGAAAATATTTTAAGATTACATATTTAAAGTCTGATTAGCCATAAACTTTCCCTGGGGCCACGTGAGGTCTCACACAAAATTATATTCATTTGCCTTTTGTTGGTAATACATTCAAGTGTGATTATTGTAAATTTTTAATTATATCCTATAAGTAAAATATAAACATATTCGATAGATTTTTGAGCTCGTATTTAATCGATTTTCAGTTTTGAATTAAAATGTTATCCATTAATAATGGCGACACTTTGTTTCCTATTCTAATTCTAAGGAACTAGATTACGAGCTCATGGATTATACTACATGGATTATGTTTATTACAAAACATTTCATTTATTAAATATTACATCAAGTTGAATGCAAGGAACCTTTTTTATTTTTAGTGTACTGCAGATTCTGGTATGAATGTAAACAACATCAATGATATTAGTTATCGTTAATGTTTATCTCAGAATCTGCAGTACATTTCATATGTAAGCAAAGATATGGAGGCTGCTGTTCTATCTTCTTAAGCTGTATAAATCTTGTGATCGAGCCAAAAATGTTTAATATCTTCTCGTTACAGATTATAAAATGGGACCCAAGAAGCGCGGTACTAGAGCCTCTAAGCGTAAGAGCGAGGCCATTGAAGAGGTTGAGGAAACCGTTGAAGAGCCTATGGAGGCCGAGGATAACAGCGGGACGGAAGAAAACGGGGGCGGAGATAAATCTAGCGTAGAAGAGGAGGAGAATGTGGCGGAACCTCCGGCCAAGAAGGCGAAGGAAGATGAGATAACGGCGGAGGAAGAAGAAAAAAATGCGGAGGAAGATGAGAAAACTTCGGAGGAAGATGAGAAAATGGCAGAGAAAAATGGGACGAAGGAAGAAGACGAGGGAGAACAAATTCGATTGAAAGAGGAACAGAAGGAAAAGGAAAGAAAGGAAAACGAGGAGAAGAAGAAAAAGGAGGAAGAGGATAAAATGGCGGACGATTTAAAGAAAGAACTGGAAAAGTATTGGAAAGCTGTGAAGGTAAAATCAGATTCAGTAGTACTTTATATTCTCATCAATTTGCATCAGTATTAAAGACAAGATCTGTCTCGTTGGTTCAAGTCCGGAGATTGTCTAAAAGAATTCAGTTAGTTGGCATCAGTTGAAACATTGAACGATACTGTAAATAATGCGCGTAATGTTCGTTACTTCTTACCCTAAACGTCGTTAACTTCCCGGAAATCTGCGAAAATAAATCCATAAAAATTAATTTTTTTCAGGACGATCCATCAGATTTTACCGGCTGGACATATCTCCTGCAGTACGTTGACAACAAGAACGTCGTTCACTCGGGTCGGGAAGCCTACTACGCATTCCTAAAGAGGTAAACATTATACAACATATTTCGAACGTTGTCTTTTTTGGACATCCACTTTATTTCTTAACTTTCTACATTAAGATGTTGTGAATATTGTTACTTTATATTTTTCACTAAATGAGAAATGTTAATTATTCAACTAAAGTTCTTGAAGATATCCCATAAATGTTAAAAAAAACATGCATTTTTAAGATAATTGACTAAAAACCTTTGATTTTTATTCAAAAAAAAGTTAACATAAAGGGGATGGTGGAGTTGGCACATTTGATGTAGGGGTCCTCTAATGACCTCCACAAATAGAAAATATTTCAACTATGGCTTTATGCATATCAAACGAAAGCTAGGAACCCAGGGAATACAGTAGCAGCAACAAATTTAGTGTTTGACCTTCTAATGACCTCTTAAGACCTCTAATGACCTAAATGACCTCCAAAAATGAAAATGTTTTAACTATGGCTTTATGCATATCAAACGGAAGCTAGGAACCCCAGGAATAAAGTAGCAGCATCAAATTCAGCATCAAATGTGCCAACTCCACCATCCCCTTTAAGATTTTATATTTTTTAATATATTATATATTCTAAAATGATGAAATCTGTGGCGAAATTGCAATAACTTTAAAATGAAGAAGGTTTGCAGATTGTTGATCAATTCAAATTTGAGAGAGATAAAGGGACGCAAAGCGCTCTAAGGCCGAATTTATCAAAGAATTGAATCCGTGTCTAGACACGGTTCAAACATGGTTAGTTCAACTTACCATTTTAATTAGTGTTTCGAGATTTGAGCCAGTGCGCAATTTGAACCGGTGATTGGCGGTTCAGGTTTACACTCATTTCGGCATCAGTAAAATTAGTTTAGCGTAACGATGTTCTGTAAAGGTATCCTTACTGCTACGGGTACTGGAAAAAGTTCGCGGATTTTGAGAAGAGGAATGGAACCAACCAGAACGCAGCTGATGTTTTCAACCAAGGGATGCAGGTAGATAAATTCTTAAATAGGAAATGGGCAATAAACCTCAAACCTTGTATGTACGATCATAAACTAAGAATTCCCTGGACCGATTTGTCTCAAATGTTTGAAGGGGAACTTGGGAGAACTCGGGATTGCTCTTTCTTTGTTTTAAGATTTTAAGTAGAGTGGGTCGACTTTTATAAGGAAAAATTGCTAAAATCGTAATTTGAGACCAAGGTCGGATAAACGTTGGGAGTAACCATGAGTAATCCGGGCAGCGCGGGGTTCCCAAGCTAGTAAATAAATAAACAATAGCCATCTTTTTAATCAGACTAATTTTTGCTGTTATTTTAAACATCTATTTAACCCAGGCTATCCCGCTGTCTGTTGACCTCTGGATCCACTACTTGAACTACGTGAAGCAGGTTCCCGAGTACACAGATAACGTCGAGTACTTACGCTCTCAGTACAACAGAGCAGTACAGGTAAACCTTCGTTGGGGGTGGATTTAGTTCTTAAAAAATGTTTTTTTTTTTTTTTAGATAATCAAGGTTTTCCAACCCCTTTTGTCTTTACACTTTTCGAAATGTATAGTCTTATCAAAACACTTTTTACCTAAGAATTCATTTAATTGCCCTATTATACGAATAAATCGAGAAAATATAGCTCCCCGATCAGTCGCACTTGCAGGAAATAATGTATACATTGATTTGATAAAAATATGATTTAAAGACATTTTTCCTCACCCCTCTGTTACTAATCACTAAAGTTCAGTCCATAAAAAAAAATTTACCTCTGAAAATAATCATATTAAAAAATAGATTCTTTAATTAGAAAAATGTCATTTTATTGTTTTCGAATCTTTCAATATTAAATATATTTATTTATTTCTTTATTTTCTGTTTGTAGGCATGTGGAAGGGAGTGGAGATCAGACAAGATCTGGGATCTATTTGTTAAGTTTGAGGTATGTAATAACTTAACTTAGGTTAAGTTAATTAGTTATGTGAATCTTATATTAAGTGGAAAAGTCAAAACAAAATATTCATTCAATGACTTTATAAATATTGCGTTCAATAAAAATGCACTGGTGGTGGTTAAGAGAATCCATTAAAAAAAAGTATAATGGAACAAAAATTATTATAATTGATTAAATAAATTTGTATGTATAAAATATAAAGCAAGAGCGTAAAAATGTTTGCCTGTATGATACCTGTAGCAGGTCAAACATCTATACAGATGGACATTTAACTTGGATAAAGGCAGTTAACCTCTCTCCCCCCCTGGGTGATAGGGGGCTTAAGGAAGGTCTGTTTTTGTCGAGTATTGTTTATGTTTAAATACCACGGGTAACAGCGAGCTTTTCAGCTAGTATAAAATGTAAACTGATATAATCTATGTAACAATAACGAAAAATACTTTTCCGATTTCTAAAAGTTTTTAATATTATAGTAAAATATTATAACACGTTTCTTTCGGTAGCATCTTCCCATCGTAAGTATGGGAGCCAGGGGGTGCCGGAGCTCATGGGAGTCCCGATGGTGGTCTGGGCTCTCCAAGATAGGGGAGTCTTCAGATCCTCCATCTTATCTAATGCTTAAAAGTTTTTGAATAGAAAGTTCTTCTTGTTGGAGAAAGGACAAGCTTCAACATTTTTCTTTCTCAAACCTTGGCTTTTTCCCCCCCCCATATTTCAATATTGAATGTAATATACACCCTCCGACATGCGCTTGTATCTCATTTAACTCCTCAAATTATTTTGCATTTGTTAAAGTGAGTTTTTAGAGAATGGTATGATGGTAGTGAGAAGTTAATATCTCTCACTTAAACCATCATTATTATTATTTCGGATAGTGCTTACCTTTAAAGAAGGGGAACACGCTACACATAATAGAATTCTTTTTCTAAAAGATGAACAATCCCTTTAATATTTATATTTAATCAGGGATTGAGCCACCAGTTCGACAAGTTCAGGGAGTTCGTCAAGAACAATCATCCCAAGGATCTGATGGAAACTGCTGAGTTTCTTGCACTCAGGTTTGTAGACGGGCCGGGGTAGGGTGGGGTTGTAGGTTGGGGAGTTGGGGGCTTTGGGGGGCTTTGATAGGGTCGTTTCAAAAATAAAAATAAATGTAGGTTTGACATTTAAAATGGTTAAGAAACAGATGGATGAATAAGTCTCATTTAATAAAATTTTCTAAAAATGTTAAAACGTTATCTTTGCTAAGATAAGTAGGATTTCATCATTACGAAAAGAGAGTTATTGTGTCATTTTTTCTTATTTGTATTGATCTGTAAGTCACTTTAATACAGAAACCGAAATTAAAAATAATCTTTCTTGAGAAAGTTAATCAATATCTCCATCATTTTTGCCCAGATAATGATGATCACATATTTTTTTAATGGAGGGTCACTTAAAAATAAGTTTCAGTTCCTGAAAATGAATAAAGCTAAATTTGTATTCAGGAAAGAGGTTCTGGCAGGTATAGCTGGAGAAAAGGTTCCCGGAGCTGATGACGGAGCTGAGGAGGAACCTGCTGCTGATCTTGTTCCCGGAGAGGAAGGAGCAGATACAACCGCCTCTGCGGAGGAAACCATGGCCATGAGGGAGAAGCTGATCTTCACGATGAAGAAGGTGTTCAAGGAGACGGAGAAGTATGCTGAGATGAGGATTGGGTTTGAGGATAAGATAAAGCGTCCGTATTTCCACGTTAAACCTCTGGAGAGAGCCCAGCTCAAGACATGGGATTCATATATCGAGAAAATGAAGGTTAGACTCAAGTAATTAAAGTAATGAACATGAAACCAAAACCGTACACTGACCCGTCTCACTTAATTAGTTTATGTATAAAAAAAATTACTGTATAATTGCTGGAATGTCATCTTCTCATTCCACAGTTTTATGGGTTTCACTGTACAATAGTAGAGTAAATTATGCAGGGTAAATTCAGATAAATAAGTGGTTTGGACCGATCTGCCCATCCTGAGTAAGATCAACCTTCTGTGACTATCTATTTATCTATTTATCTGTATTAGTTTAATCACAGGAGGTGGATATTTTTAGAAGAAGACGAAAGGGGGATTGGGGTCCTAAATCACAATTTGATTAGATAGCGCGAGAATGAAGAATACTCTCAAGATATGGATAAGAAATCATTGCAAAAGCTAGAAACCTGGAAAGTAATGAAATATGTTGAAATGATATCAAAGTCGTCAATTCCTCGTGTGAAGTTTTATAGATTTCTCAAATGAACTTTTGTAATTTAATGTTTCTAACTCAGATAGATCATTATCCAGGATTTTGTTGCTCTTTTTGTATGCAAGTTTGATGAAGAGAAATACTAGTATAATTTTTCATGAGGTTAGGTCTGATTTGAATTCTATTTTCTCCTAGGAATTGTTGAAGGATGAGAAGATTGAACAAGATGAATTGGAAATCATTTACGAGAGGTGTCTCATAGGTAAAATTTTCAAAGGTTACTCTGGGATTTTTAATTTCAAGTGACCCTCCATTCAAAGATGGTAATGCCCGATTTACAACGATACCATTGAAATCTTTATCTGATTAAGTATGAATTAGATATCAATGTTATTGTTTCTTTAAACTATTTCATTTTCGGTTTTTCTGCACTTGCGCATTTATTGATTATAAGAAATAGATTATATTCACATTGAGCTGAATTTTTTAAAAGCTTTTTTTCGCTCAAGTGGGGAAAATAAATCCGAAATTTTGTGAGAATGGTCACTGAAAGGGTGAACAAAACTAGCCAAGTTCAATCACTTAAAGTTAAATTTTTTTTCTTTTAGATCATTTGTTCAAATTGTAAACTACCTGGAAAAACTAAGGATAATCTTATTGTTTACCTAATCCGCTCATTAAAAGTTTCCAGCTCTGTATGAGTATTGTAGACTCAAATATATATATATTGTAGCATGTGCTCTGTATGAGGAGTTCTGGATTAGTTATATTGACTGGTTGACCAGCCTGCCAGGGGATAACAAGGAGAAAATCAGAGCTGTTTACAACAGGGCCTGTACGAGTCATCTACCAGATAAGGTAATATCTAATTAGCCCTTATATTTTAAGCTTCTTTTCTTTATATTGAGCTTTTTTGGGAAAAAACTGAAGGAGTTTTAGATTAGAAATAGGCGGCAAATATTGAAATTAGTGAATATTGGCGAATAAAAATCCCATTTATGAAGCCTAATATAGTTAAATTAACAGAGCTCAGGATCTGGATCTCTAACACCGATTGAACAAATAATTTGCAGCACAAATCGCGATATTTTAAAATATAAGTTAATGATTTGAATGAAGGCGTTTAAAGGGACTTAAAGTGTAATTCTAAGTTGACCTACTAGCAAAGATAGCAATGCCCTATTTACAACGGTACCTTTAAAACCTTTATCTGATCAAAAAAGTGAAAGAAAACTTCGTTTTTAAGACTCGAAAGTGTATATTTCCGTGAATTTCTCCATTGTTTAATTTAAGCATGAAATGCATACGTGACTGAGTCTTGAGAACCCACAAATAAAAATAAGCAGTTAAAATAAACAAATACATGGATATATAATACATACTTGCATGGAGGGTTACCATAAATTTCTCTTGAATTTTATCTAGGTTGACATCCACTGCCGGTGGGCGGCCTTCGAAGAACTGAACGGAGATTTCGACACTGCAGCGAAGATCCTAGAGGATCAAGAGAAACTTCATCCAGAGCTCATCAGTCTCAAGCTCAAGAGGATCAATGTAGAGAGGAGAAGGTAATGTCTAGGATCCGGATCAGGAATACTATGGTTCACTAGATCGCAATCCGGATTTGCTAAAATATACGGATTCTAGTTGCAAAGAATCGAACAAATTGTTCTTTAAATCTGTTGATAATTTTCTGAAATATTTTAAAGGTGTCACTTAAAAAGCGTAAATGGTGTGGGGGGGGGGGGAAGTCGAATATTTGAATGTAACGAAGGGGAAATAATGCTGCTCTAACGGATGGATCAAGTTGGCTGAAATGTGTTAATAAAACCCATGGCATAGACATAGGCTAATAAAATGTTGGATGTATTGAAATTCAAGGGGCAACGCCGGGCACTTCAGCTGAAATCATGATTTAATACCAAGCGCGGGTAAACAGCGGAAGTAACTAAGAGTAATTATTCAAACCTGGACAACGCCGGGTTCTTAAGCTAGTATCTAATATATGAATATTTACTCTGTAGCTCTACATAACATACCTCAATAATCTCAAGGACTTACAGCTGTGCTGGTCCCTAGTCTATTTCACCCACCAGAGCTTCCCCTCTCCAGTCTCATACGGCTGTGCTGGTCCCTAGTCTATTTCACCCACCAGAGCTTCCTCTCTCCAGACTCAATACGCATTTTATTCACGCCTGGGGTCTCTTTTGACTGTAGGATTGAATTATAATAATAATAATAATGATAAAAACAAATAATAATAACTCTGTAAAGGGGAAATGATGAGAAGGTTTGTGAGCTATATGAAGCCTGCATCAAGTCCGCTGAAGCTTTTGCCAATGACGATGCAGCTTCCAAGGTAGGATTAAGAATTTTATTGAAGTTTTGTATGCAATTTTTTACATGAAACGTTGAACGTTACTGAATTCTGATTTCACTTCAAATTTTAGATTTAATCTGTTTTTTTTTGCTTAAGGGCGTAAAAATGTTAAAGAACCCCCCCCCCCTGGTCGTGCTGAGGAAATAATTTTTAAAGCTTTCGGGGAAATGAAATATTACATGTTTTTTAAAATTCCCTTTTCTATAGTTAATTCAATTATTTTCCCTAATTTATCCAGCCCATAAGTTTAATAATTAAGGGGGTGGTGGAGAGGTCCTAATAACCTCAAAATTGAAAATGTTTTAACTTTGGCTTTATGCATATCAAACGAAAGCTAGAAGCCCAGGCAATTCAGTAGCAGCAACAAATTCAGTGTTTGACCTTCTAATGACCTCTAGCAACCTCTAACATCCTCTAATAACCTCAAAATAGAAAATGTTTTATCTATGGCTTTTTGCGTATCAAACGAAAGCTAGGAACCCAGGCAATAAGGTAGAGCTTCTAATGATCTTAATTTATTTGGACAAAATTATTTACACATTTACAATTAAAAGGGGTTTTTAAATTTAGTGTTCGAGTTTCAATTTTCATTCAATTTTCATTAGAGGTCGTCAGAGGTCATATGAAGGTCAAACACTGGATTTGTTGCTGCTACTGAATTGTCTGGGTTCCTAGCTTTCGTCTGATATGAATAAAGCCATAGTTAAAACATTTTCAATTTTGAGGTTATTAGAAGTTGTTAGAGGTCGTTAAAAGTCATTTGAAGGTCAAACACTGGATTTGTTGCGGCTAATATATTGCCTGGGTTCCTAGCTTTCGTTTGATATGCATAAAGCCATAATTTAAACATTTATATTTGTTGATGTCATTAAAGGTCATTAGAGGTCATTAATGTCAAATTTTATTTTATTTTTGGAAAAAAGTTCCCTTATTCGGCGTGCAGCCAAAAAAAGTCGAAGATTTGAACTAAAAATGAAGGCAGGGACATCTCCACTAACCCCTTTCTAGAAAATTAATACTTCCACATAAAGAAATAACGAACAGAAGATGTTTTGTTTAGGATGATGCCCTCATGGCGGATGTCTCAATTAAGGTGATCAAATAAAACTTTAAAATTTGAAATATTTGATCAAAATTCTTTCTATGTGGTATTGTGTTAACCAAAAATGGATGAAACTGTACATGACGAAAAATGACGACCTAAAAATAATAATTGAAAATTTCAAAGATAAAAAAGTTTATAGTGTAGAGAATCATGACTAAGAAACTCGTGTGCATAAATCATGGATCGTCTTTGAAGTATCATCCTTTGGATATTAAAACGTCTTTAAGAAAAGACGTTTTTTCTCTCAAGTCGATATTTGGCAGACGAAAACCAGTTTTCATGACGATTAAATTCGATGAAAGTGACTGATACAAGCAAAAATTGGGGTTTAAAATTTTTTTTCTCTCATGGGTCAAATTCTACCTTCAAGAATTGATTTTACAGAAATTTTTTGAAAATTTTATACTTTATACAAATCCGGTAGAAGCAATTAAGATTTTAGAAATTCTTTAAAAATCGACCTCTCTTATTATGCAGTGTACATAACTTTTACTATGTTAGTATGCCCGTGTACTGCGGTTGTACATGAAGAATACAGAGAAAGCTAAGGAGATAATAAACAAGGCACTGGAGATTTATCCCAAGAATATCAAGCTTTATCTTCAACAATTAGGTAATTCATGGTTGGCTTATGAATTTATTTCATACTTTCCGAGGAAGGAGAACGTCCAAGAATTTTTTCCATATTGGAAAGTTTTAATTGCATTTCAAACAAATGATATAAAAGGGGTGAAATAACTCTTTAGTTTTGGAAGTAGAACCATTTCATACAGCGGTTTTACTTAGTTTGTAAAACTCGATTCCATTTTTTCAAATTTCGTCGTTTCGAGCGCATTCTTGATTCGTATATTTAGATATTCTGCTGCACACTGTTCCCCACAACTTACCAGAGATAGAGAAGTTCTTCTCTCACCTCATGGAGACAGAGATCAAACCATCCATCAAACTCAAGTTCTCACAGCGTAGGGTTGAGTTCCTTGAGGACTTCGGGACCAATATGAGCAGTATTCAGGTATACTGACAATCATAACATAGTCTTACATTCTTACATGCTTGCATGCTTGCATTCTTAATGAGATTTTATAATATTCCGGTTTGAATAATACTAGAATCGTTGTAGCACCTTTTTCCCATATGATTATAGATTATATTATTATTCAATGGAATTTTAATAAATATTTCTCTAAAATATGTTACGAGCAAATGAGGATCACAAGCCCTGATTTCACTGAACGACGGATTGTCCTTTAATCATAATAATAATATTACTAATACTAATAATCTAGGCTGCTGAGTCTGCTCATGTTGAATTAAAGAAAAAGTTGGCGGAATCCCTGAAAACGGAGGAACCCGAGGAGGGGGATACCATCTCTACAATTAACTCAGACAGTAAGTACACTCAGAGGTGTATACAGGGGGGGGAATGGGATACCATCTCTACAATTAACTCAGACAGTAAGTACACTCAGAGGTGTATACAGGGGGGGGGGGAATGATGGGATACCATCCCTAAATTCAATTCAGACACTAAGTACACGGAGGGGCGTATACATTTGGGAGGGATACCATCTCTACAATCATTTCAGGCAGTTAGTGCACTCAGGGGCGTATACAGGGAGGGGGGTACCATCTCTACAATCAACTCAGAAAGTTATACACTCAGGGGCATAAACAGGAGCGTACTTTTATAATTTTGTGCATAATTTGATAGAATCGGAATATATCCTTTCAAAGGAGTATTTTGAAACCACATATTGTAAATATGATTCCTAAATCTTTAAAAAAAATAGCTTAACATTTATAACGTTGTAATTGTTCTATTTTTTTAAATACTGAAAAAGTTTAATTTTTTAGATTGACTTAAGTCATTTATGTTCGCGATTTACAAAAATTGTCATATTTACGTTGTGAAAAATATTACTTCACAATTAGTTTTACACCTTCCAATGGTGTATAATTTTCAGATTTAGATACCCCGCGGAGGAGGGGGGTGGGTGTGGTTTTAGATTAATTGGGTTGGGGGGGAAGAAACGTTAAATTGGATTTCAAAAGGCAATTTCGTCCTTTTAAAAGATTTTTATGGAGGCAGGGGGGGGGGGAATTTTCATGAAAATATACGCCCCTGTAACCCTGTTACAGATCAACTCCTGCGGATAATTTATTTTTGTATCGGATTTATTTTATTAATATTTAGGAAAAGGAAGATCAGGAAGTAATGGTGGACAATCCTACCCTCCTGTAGCAAACACACCAGCATACGGGGCTCAGCAGAACATGGTTAGATTATTTTACAATTACAAATATACAATATAAATATACATATCCTCCCCCCCTCAACAAAAAAAAACGATTTTGAGTCAAACATATTCTAGAAAAATTGTAAAATAGAATTAACGATACTCATTGGAAAGTTGTGCACTTTTCAGTTTTTAGTTTATCTCTCTATAACTTTCAGCGTCGGAACAATAGAAGTGCATAACTATTTAACCAATGTATTGTTTATACTCTTGATAAAATACAGTTTCATTTCATATCGTAATTTTTAAAACACAGGTAGAAATTGCATTTAACATTATTTTAACTTGAATAGTGCGGGATTAATAAGAGTTTATTGTTCATATTCAATCACCCTGCATAGAAAGTTCTTGACAGGATCACACTGATTCACAAATCTTCTCACAGGCTGTAGTTTATCCTAGAATAATAGTTTAGATTTTACAAAAGTAACTGAAGACTCACTTCTACCTCTAGTTTTCTAAGATCATGTTTTGCTAGCTGATGTCGCAAACCTTTGATATTTCGCCAGATCTTTTAGTTTAAGTTCTCATAATAAGGTTGCAAAAATATAGGGATTAAAAAATTATATTTTGAGGTGATGACATTTTATTCTTTTGTTAGGCGTACCAGAACCACGCCTCCAGGTACGCCCCCTACCCTCCCACCAATTACCCCGCCCAAGGCGGATACCAGCAAGGATACGCTGGTGGCGGATATGGAGGCGGATATTAGTTCACGAGTACATAGGTAATAAGAATTATTTTTAAGGATTTTTATTTATTAATAAAGGTTTTTTTAATTGAGTGTTATTGCTTGAAAGCTATTATTACACAAAGCTTCAACATATTATGAAATATAGTTTTTTTACTTGGATTTTTGTCTGAGCTAAAGATTATTTTTTTTTAGGTCGGCAGGATTTACTTTACACCCTTCACCCTTCATATCGAGGTTGATAATAATTTTTCAAAATATAATCTAATTTTTGTATCATTCAGCAGGTAAGTGGTGTACTGAATCAGCTATTCATTTATTAATTTAAATTTTCAAAATTAAGAATTTTCAGCTTATCGTTCGGACAGAGAACCCATCGATTCTTCAATACTGGAAGTATTTATTTAATTTGTTTATTTTTGAATTGTTTACTAAATTTAAAATTTTGTGATTAAATATTGAAACAGTGTGATCCTAAACCCCATTTTGTGATCTTAAAATTGTGCTGATCCTGTCTGTAATTACAACATTTTTTGTAAACGACGATAATGTGATTTCATTGAAATGATCTGATAACGTTGAAATAATGTGATTACATTCAAATAACGTGATTACATTCAAATGATGTGATTATTAGATTCCTAAGATGTATTAAAAATCAACCTCTGTATCGTAATGTAATGTAAACCTGCCATCACTGTTCTCTGTAAAAGTTAATATTGTATCTCGCTGTACCTAAACTTTGTACGCTAATGTATTCCCTGTACTTCAGTTCACATTAAATTGTATTTTCTCTTCAAATTTTGGATTTGACGCATTTTTCCGGTTTTCAGAGAAAATGAATGCCCCGCCAACCTTCGAGTCTTTTCTTCTGTTCGACGGTGAGAAGAAGATCACAAAGGAACAGGATACAAAGGTATGAATTCTACAGCTGTGCTTAGGATCCGGATCAGCTACATTTTGGCTTCCTGAATCCGGATCCGGAACCTACAAATATGCGGAGACATGGATTCGATTAAAAAAAGTTTTTCTCCCAGTACACACATTTTATGTGTTAGTAAATAGATTTTAGATTCTCAATGGTTAAAAGAGAAAGAGAACATGAGGGAAATATTTTGAAATTCAAGTAATTCAATTCTGTGTAGATTTATTTAAAAAGTTGAGGCATTTTCTCGAATAAGATATTTTCGCAATTTTTTTACTCTGAAAATTGTTTAAATCGTCGCCTTAAACTAAGTCATTGTTTCTGATGGAAAGCTCTTCTTTTTAAAAGTAAAATTCTACTAGTTACTTTGTAAATCGCTTTCACCATTTTTAATGACGTTAGGGAACCAAAAGAAATTGACAGTATTGTTTTTACAGAATATCAACCAAAAGCTGCAAAAAAACTTTTTTACTCCTAAAACTCAAATCTCAACTTTTGAAAAAATGAGATTATAACAATTTTCTCATTTCTGAATGGTTCATCAAGTTTTTGAATAAAAATAAGCGAAAAAAATAATACATAAATTTGAAAACTATTTTGTTAAAAAAATCAGTAAATCTTAAAGAAATGACCTGGATCTGGATCTTTTAACTTCTGAAAAACCGGCTTTTATTGTGGTTAAACGAACGTAAGTTTTTGATTAATGTTTATTAAGACTAACGTTCAAAATGACTATAGTCTTCAAATGTGATAAATATTTTTTTTAATAAGGTCATATTAACATGATTATGTTTATATTTGTTTAAATGCTCTAAAAGCCCGCTTGTGAACAGCTGACTTAAGTTCAATAGGATACTAGTCCAATCGTTGTAGCATCGTATCTGTAATTGTAAACAGTAGGGGTATCCAAAAAGAGAGGATTAAGAAGAAAATCAAAAGTGTGTCTCTTGGATACTCAGATTAAGTAATCGGGATTAAGGATATCTCATTCTAAAGTTTTCAGCTCTGGCTACCCAATGTACATAAAGATTAAAGTTGTTAACTAATGAAGGGCCCGCAACTCTTTAAATGGAGAGCACTTGGAATTACTATAACAGTCCCTTTAATTATTTAGGTTCCTAATGCTGCAATATTCACTATCAATAAGGAGGATCACACCCTAGGTAGGTTCAGCTTTTAAATAATATATTTCATTTTTCCTTCTGATTCCTTGACAGTTATAAAACCAATTTGTTGAACTACTGAACCATCATCAGACAAACTACTTTTTCTTTTTATAAAAGTGTGTCCATTGAATAAATAGAAATGTCTTTTTTTTTAATGGGCCATATACCAAGAGGAATTAAACTTTTTGAAATGGAACTAAAAAAGTATTTGGATATTTGTATTAATTCCTACTATATAATACAAGCTTTTTGTCATAAACTTTTTTTTCAGGAAACATCATTCGTCAACAGCTTCTCAAGGGAAATCCTCGGTTTTTTGGTCACATTATTTCGATTCCCAGTTTTTTTTATGCTATTTAAGAACTGTAGTTGTCTACTTTTTACTATTTTGGTAAATGGACATTGCCGCTGATTTTGAGGGAAAATAAAACATTTTTGGCGGATAAAACCGTTTAAAATATATCCTATATTATTTCTACAAAGCCACATCGACTGAACGTTTAAATGTCAATTTAAGTTGAATTCCGCTGTAATCGGGAAATCCATCCGGAAAAAATTAAGAAATGATAAGAAAGTGTGTGACGAGGGGGGTGGAGGGAGAGCAAAAAGTCCCCAATTTCGTGGGGGGAGTGCAGAATTCCTCAATTTATACACACAGCCATCCAAACGCGCGCTCCTCATTTTGAAAATTTAATAGCCAAGGGGGTGGAGATTCGGAGAACCGACGGACTGAGCTCATTGTTAACTGATTAAAATGCTTATGTTTTGAGCTCTGTATGAGTTGGATAAAATAAATGAAGGATTTGAGTTTAGGATCCGAATATATTGTTTGCAGGATACAAGAATCCTCATCCTCTAGAGAACAAGATTATACTCAGGATACAGGTAATTCAAGAACCCTCATCCTTTAGGGAACAAGATTATACTCAGGATACAGGTAATACAAGAACCCTCATCCTTTAGAGAACAGGATTATACTCAGGATACAGATAATACAAGAACCCTTATTCTCTAGAGAACAGGATTATACTCAGGATACAGGTAATACAAGAACCCTTATTCTCTAGAGAACATGATTATACTCAGGATACAGGTAATACAAGAACCCTTATTCTCTCGAGAGCAAGATTATACTCAGGATACAGGTAATACAAGAACCCTTATTCTCTAGAGAACAGGATTATACTCAGGATACAGGTAATACAAGAACCCTCATCTTTTAGAGAACAAGATTATACTCATAATACAGATAATTCCAAGGGCATACAGCGAGACCCATTAAACTAAAATATTAAGACGACATTTAAGCACTTCATTTGTATGAAAATAGTTTCATATAGAATTACCCACCCCTTTTAGTTAATTCAAAGAGGGGAAGGGGGGTGGTTGAAGTTATGCAAGCTTCAACTGATACAACGTTTGTAAATGAAAAGTTTATCAGAACATATTCATTGTGTTCATTCTCGCCATGTCCAGCATGAAACACAAGACAAATTCATTTTAAGAGGAGAATTGGGACAAAAACCAGCCAGCCCCCCCTGACCCCCTAAAATATACCACCGTGCAACCTCCCCCATCCCGCGGAAAAATCTGCATTTTTTATGGATACCCTAATTTATTATTCTTGTTTAGACGACATCTGACTACACTCCGCAGGATGCTCTCATGAATGCTATCACGGATCTTATATCAGAACTATCACTCTTCGAAGAAAGGTCCGTAGGTTTATCCCAGGATCAACATTTTATTGATGTGCAAAATTAAATCTGAACATAAATGAAGTTTCGTCGTTCTTCTCTGTAAATTTTGAATATTTTCAAATTCTATATCTATTCATAATTAGCTTGCGGATTTATGTAAAGGAAGAAAAATGACGGAATTTGTCTCTTTTTAAAAAGAAAACGAAAATATCATAATCATTTTCACTTAATTAAATAATCCTTTATGAGTTATTGCGAAAAATGAATTAACCTTCGATTTAAAAATAAAGGTTTTAAAAGTATTTCACCGTTTAAACAGCAGGTTTGAAATTTTTCCAACCATCTCTGATAGATGATGAATGATGAAGACAAAATCCTCCATATTTAGAAAAACCAAAAATATTACTTTTTGTTTAGATTTAAGGACTGCCTAAGGGACAAACAAGATGGAAACGAGTGAAGAAAACGTTGCGGATTCCACATTCATAAAAATGCTCGAATCTTGTGGATAAAAATCCGGGGTTCTCGTAATTACGTAAATAACGTAACACGATATCGTCAATTTTGATGTAATTATTAATAATATGTGAAAATTATAAACCACATTTGTTTTTGTACCTGATTTTCTGCAATTTTTAGTTTACTGAAATGAAATTTAACACAAAAAAATATTCATGTCATTTTTCAAATTCCATAGCTTGCAATTAAGGATTTAGCATTGGGCTTAATCTAATCCATGAGCCTTTTATAAAGAAGTATGTTAACATGTTAATTTCATAAAATTACCCTTCATAACTCTAGTTTACTAAAAATTTCAGATTTTAGAATGCTTTCTTTGAGAAGAAAACGTAAGATAGTGAGGTAATAAAACAACAATATCAGTATTTCCACAATCTTTAGCTTTACAAATTTATTTATTTCCTCAAAGAATATACACACATGAACCCCCATATCTTTGTTAACGTTTAAAGAGTATAACAGTATCTGGGAGGAATTCTAGGCTCATTAGGCGCTTCATTACCCCCTTCCTATCAATTCAAGCTACTAATTGTTGCGATGGAATTCTCCATTCGTATTCATTCTAAAATTTTTACGGATTTTTCTATTAGAAATGGCGCCCTTTCAAAAAAAAAAACATTTTTAATTTTAACTGTCCCTTGGGTCATGTGGGTTGCCGTAAAAAATCTGGACCCGACTGGTTCCGCCGTTTTTACGTTTATTTGATACTAACGGACAGAGAGACTAGGAATGTCTATATACAATATAATTATACATACATTACATAGATTCCCTCCCATAAATTGTCTAGGTGTAGAACATTAATTGTAAACAATAGATAAATGGGTTCTTGTTGCATCTTCTCTGTGTTTGTGAATGAAAGTGATTCCTCTGAATGAAATGCAAGAAAGTTTGAGAATAAAGAAAAACTTTTTTTTGAAAACAGAACCTTTACACATCGATTCTTCTTTTATTTATTCAAAAATTTGCAACTAAACTGTTCGTCAATGTATTCAATTAGAAAAGTTCAGGGATGTATATTTTCCTGTTCCAGCTCAAGCCAATAAAAAACGTTGACCTATATCTGCAAATTGAAATTTCCGCTTACTTTTAAACTAAAAATACAATTTTATTCCCACCCTTTTTTCTTTTTTCATTTTTTTAAAGGAACTATAGACGTAATTTTAACAAACCTTCATTGATAGAGTGACATGTCCTATTCACACCCATACCCTTAAAAGCTCAGTCTGATCAAGTATTAATTAGATATCTATGTTTTTGTTTTTGACAGCTGATTATTTTCATTTGTGGTATCTTGCTTCAGAGACAATTGAGGCCATAACGAATTAAAACGACTGCAGCTTCCACATTGTTGATCAGATTAAGGTTCACTTTTGTGAATCGGTTATGCCATACAAATAGAGAACCACTTGAAAATACAATGACAGTCCCTTTAATCAGAAATGAATTGGTTCATATAATTAATATTTATAATAATTTGTCGATTCTTAAAGGGAGTGTTCGCGAAAAATGAAAGGGGGTATAGGCTTAATACGATAAAAAAGCGCTTTTGATCGCTACTAATCTTACTTCTATCTGTTGCGTCTATAAGGAGAAAATTGTTAAAAACGACTAATACCGAAGAACGTAGTGTCCATACAGATTCAGAAAGATGCAACATACGACTCGGATCGTAAAAAATCTATTTAATTTCAAACAAATCATTCAGATATTACAACCTATGGTCATCGATTATCTTCGAGCCACATTTGTATAAAGTTGATTTTTCATAATATGTTTTGATTTTATTTTTTAAAATAATATTTAGCTTAAAACTTGTTTTCGAACATTCCTGGAAAATATGAAAATGTCGCTTCATTACCAAAAATCCTCGAAACAGGAATAAATGTTTTTATAAGTAACTCTCAGATCATAACAATTAAAACATATTATGAAAAATCAACTATATACAAATGTGGCGAAAGATAATCGATGACCATAGGTTGTAATATCTGAATGATTTGTTTGAAATTAAATAGATTTTTAACGATCCGAGTCGTATGTTGCATCTTTCTGAATTTAGTATGGACACTACGTTCTTAGGTATTAGTCGTTTTTAACAATTATCTCTTTAAAGACGCAACAGATAGAAGTAAGATTAGTAGCAATCAAAAGCGCTTTTTTATCGCATTAAGCCTATACCCCCTTTCATTTTTCGCGAACACTCCCTTTAAACTGTACAAATTGTACACTGCACAGGCTGTATAGACGTTGTGCACCGTATGGACTATGGGCCCACCCTTCTAGTATTCTCTGCCCCTCCCTTCAGCTGTGCAGGGGTATATATAGTTCCTTGAAAAATAAGTTTTTAATAAATTGTATCTTCCAAATAATAGGACTTCATGTGTGTTATTTCGCCGAAAAAATGATATTAGGTTAAATACGTTAAATACAGAGCGAAATCTTTTTTCTTTATTCCCCCCCCCCCCCCCTATTGTCGAAAACTTGCACCCTGTATTATATGGTTTAGGCCTAAACAGTGAACATTCCAAACATTCTTGGTCAGTTGATCGGTCAGTGGGATCCATGAGATCTTATTTCCAGATATCAGACATTCATTCCTTTTATCATGCCATGCATCCTTATATATATGTATTCTTACCTTGTATCTATATATAAATTTAGCTTGTCTGGGTGTCTGTTTGTTTGTTTGTATCCAATAAACTTCAAAAAAGCTAAACCGATCGGGCCCAAATTTTTGGTGAGACCTCGCGTGACCCCAGGGAAGGTTTATGGGTGATCCAATCTTCAAAACTTAGCCTCCATCAAAATTCTATTTTTAAAAATTTAGAAAATCCACGAAATTTCTTTTAAAATCCGCGAATTTTTTGTTTATTTTTGTTTTACAATTTACATAAAAGTGAACATGTTCACAATGGAAATAAGAGATGGGCGCGAAGTGCCCTAATAGCCTATTAGGTTATATTCCCTCTACCATACCATGCATATGGTTTATTATACCCACTTGCATGTTTCAATGAATTATTACCCCAGAAGGTATTTTTAAGTATCCCCCCTCCCAATTAATATTATTTTTAAATTCGTTTTCTCCTCAAAGATTTTTCCCCTTAGACCATAAAAATACGTTATAGAGTGTGTCGTTATTATTCAAGTGACCATCCTCCATTTAAAGCTATAGGAGCATGCCTTAACCCCGTTATCTGATCAATAATCGGAAAGATATTGTCGTATTTCTAGCCTGAAATTTCAGTTCTGTAAATCTAAATTTCATTCGTTCAGCTGTTGTAGAAATGCGCAGTGTTCTTGTTTGAAACCACAATTGAAAATAATAAGTTTTTTGAGAGAGACGAGGATATCTAATTCATAAATGATAAGACAAAGCTGTGAATCGGACCGTTCAATCTATAACTAGAAAGTCACTTAAAATTACGTCACAGTCCCTTGAACACATTTTTAAGTTTAATTCACTTCAGCCTGTAAAAACAAAATGAATGTTTAGGTTATTTTGGAGAATATAGTTTTAATGAAAATATATTTTTCTCTAGTTATCCCAGAAAATGCGACTTTAAATATTGCGATTAAACCATAAATAAACAAGGACCGACACCGCAATTTTGCCACTTTCTATTTGAAGAGGGGCTTGTCTGATTGACAATGGTATCCTTTAAGACAGTTATTTGAGCAACAATGACAATTATAACTTAGTTTTTCTATCTTGTGAAGTGTTATATTCTGACAATTTGGTTGCTTTAGCTGCTGAACAAATGTGCATGTAAATTTCTTGTCAAAGAAACCACAAACTAAATTTGTAATTTTTAGATAGAAAAAAAAACTTACTCGTTGCTTATTACCTTGTAAGGTTTATAGGGCACTGTTGTAAATTGAACATGACACTCAAGGATGTCTTAATGCATAACGCATTTTCGGCCTTTCAGGTGTACGTCTTAGCAACAATGAGGATAGGTAAAGACGTTTTACTATTCTGACTATTTTTTCTTTACGCAGATCAGTCGTATTAAGGAACCACAATTGAATTTAATCAACGGTCAGCTAGACTTATAAGGATAAGGTTGTATCATTTATCCTCAATCAGACAAAGGTTTTAAGGGTACCACTGTGAATCGGACATGGTCCTCTACAAATGAAGGGTCACTTGAAATTACGTCTCCAGGCCCTTTAACAGTTGAATTTTCAGTTTCTAAATTGAAGAACACGAGACCAAGTATATAAGAAGGATGGAGCCCGAATCTCTAGTACCAAAGCCCGGGATGAAGGAAAGGATGAAAGCCGGGATGAAAGAGGGATGCCATCAACTTTTAAAGCCTAGTCCTATGGGGGGAGAGGGAATATTAACCACCACCCCCCCAAAAAAAAAATAAAAAAATATTCATTTAGTCGTTTCCGGAAATTTACAATTCAACATTTACAATTGCATTTTTTAAAATTCCGATCTTAGGAAAAGTAATTTTTTTATTCGCATGAATTCGACAGAAAAAAGTGTTGTTTATTAATAAAGAAAAATGTCGAACTAAAATTAAATGTGTGACTTTATAATTATTCTTGATTAATATGGTTTGATGTACAGCTAAGGAAAGTAAAAAAGTTCCGCGTGAAACACGTGATTTCTAAATTACGAGAAGAGAACTGGGGACTCAGGAGATTAGTCTGGCTTCTCCTTGCATTGGCTCTCTTTTACAGGGGATGGTAAGAACACAAAATGCACATTCTTCAAGGGACTGTTCACGTAATTTTAGGTGTAACTTAAAGGGACCCTTCTATGAAAGATGACAATATCCGATTTACAACGTTACCCTTGAATGAGTTATCAATGTTTTGTTATTCAAACTATTTAATTGCATTTGTGGTTACTCTGAAAAAGTGACTTGCGTATATTAAACAACAAAGATATTATCTGAATTAAACACTTTTTGATTCAGAAAAACGACGTTATCTTCCACATTTTTAAAATCAGATTAAGGTTGTAAATTGGCCTTTGTTTTATTTGCATTGAGGGACACTTGAAATTACGCTTCGGGCCCTTTAAGTAACTCTTCATGGGCTAACCTGAATCCTGATCCGTTCAACATACGGGTCCAAGTATTAAAATATTTATAAAAAAACAAAGAACAGCATTCAATTGTGGAATAAAGTTGCAGAAAGTAAAAAATTTGTCGCATTTTTTTCCTTTTTAATTAAAGGGCCGCGTAACATAAAATTGTGACATTATTTTGTTGAATACTTTGGGATAATTTGAAAATGATAAAACAAATAAACATGATTTTTGTAAGTTAATTACAAACTAATTTATAAATATAAAATTTGTTCCAATATTAGGAAAATATACATACCTGCTGTTGTTTTTTAATAACGTTAATAAACTTATATTATACAGGACTTTGTTGGATATTGTAAAGCTGTTGATTTATCTTGTAATCTTCCTGTTCATAGCTCTTCCTTTCGTCTTTAAATATACGCCTTGGATACAGAGACATCTAGTTTTCCTTCCCTTTGTCAGGTAATTTCCTGGACACAGAGACATCTAGGTTTCCTTCCTTTGTCAGGTAATTTCCTGGATAAAGAGACATCTAGTCTTTCCTTCCCTTTGTCAGGTAATTTCCTGGATGCAGAGACATTTAGTTTTCCTTCCCTTTGTCAGGTAATTTCCTGGATACAGAGACATCTAGTTTTCCTTCCCTTTGTCAGGTAATTTCCTGGACACAGAGACATCTAGGTTTCCTTCCTTTGTCAAGTAATTTTCTGGATACCGAGACATCTAGTTTTCCTTCCCTTTGTCAGGTAATTTCCTGGACACAGAGACATCTAGGTTTCCTTCCTTTGTCAGGTAATTTCCTGGATAAAGAGACATCTAGTCTTTCCTTCCCTTTGTCAGGTAATTTCCTGGATGCAGAGACATTTAGTTTTCCTTCCCTTTGTCAGGTAATTTCCTGGATACAGAGACATCTAGTCTTCCTTCCCTTTGTCAGGTAATTTCCTGGACACAGAGACTTTTAATTTTTCTTCCCTTTGTCAGGTAATTTCCTGGACACAGAGACATTTTGTTTTTCTTCCCTTTGTCAGGTAATTTCCTGGATACAGAGACATTTAGTTTTTCTTCCCTTTGTCAGTTAATTTCATGGACATAGAGACATTTAATCTTTCTTCCCTTTGTCAGTTTATTTCCTGGATACAGAGACATTACAGTCTTTGTTCCCTTTGTCAGGTAATTTCCTGGATACAGAGACATTTTAATCTTCCTATAATTTGTCAGGTTGATTTCTTTCTAATTATGAAACTCACAATTAAATCAGAAATTATGTTTTTTTTATGAATATATTTGACATTTTTTTTTGTATGTTTGTTTATTTGGAACCAATAAACGTCTCTGAACTATTCAGGCCCAAAATTCCTTTGAAATATTTTTACAGAAAAACGTTTATAAATCCACTGCTTGATATTTTAGTATTATTGTGTGAACATGTTGGGGTAAATTATGCTAAAGAAACTAAAAGATAAAAAAGATGTTTGAATTTTAGAACATAAGAGTGCACCAAGTCTAAGCCTATTCTTAATCAAAAATACTCCTCTCCAGCCTTAAAAATTGTCTGTTGGAAAAATAAACCAATAAAATTTTTATATTTCAGACTTCCTGGATATGTAAACTTCTCTGACCCTGAGAGTGAAGGATTGCCCGGAAGTAGAAACTTCTACTTAGAAAGTGAACCAGGAGTAAAGCTGGGTGTCTGGCAGATACTTCCGGCAGATATTCAGGTACTTCATATAGATATTCATGAACTTCCGGCAGATATTCAGGTACCTCCGGCAGATATTCAGGTACTTCCGGTAGATATTTAGGTATATCTGGCAAATATTCAGGCACTTCTGGTAGATATTCAGGTACTTCCGGCAGTTATTGAGGTACTTCCGGCAGATATTTAGGTAGTAAAGGTAGAATTCAGGTACTCCGGCAGATACTAAGTCACTTCCGGTAGATATTCAGGTTCTTCCGGCAGATATTCAGTTAGTTTAGGTATATATTCAGGAACTTTAGCCACATATACAGAAACTTCCTGTATGTACAGATATTTCCCGTAGATATACGGATACTTCTTGTAAATATACAGATACTTCCCGTAGATATAGAGATACATCCTGTAATTATACAGATACTTACTGTATATATGCAGATACCCTGCATATATACAGACACTTCTTGCAAATATACACAGATACTTCCTGTAAACATACAGACACTTATCGCAAATATACAGATACTTTATGTTTATATACAGATAAGAGATTGCTTGCGGCACAGATGAAATGAAAGTAGAAACCTTGTTGATATTTATAACATGAATTTTTTATATTTGTTCAGGGAAGCAACAAGGATAGATCTGAGGAGTGGTTTCTCAGCAAACTGGGAGATAATAGGTTCGAAACATTTTCTATTATTCATAATTATACAAAAAGCAAACACTTTTGGTTCGGATACCGCTCTTTCACATAAACTGATGTAAGTTCACCAGCTGAGATGCCCTAATTAAAAAAGTTTTAACTTGAGGATAACAACTAAAAGCTAGATTACATACAGTCATATTTTCAGAACTGTAGTCCTATACCTGCATGGTAATTCAAACAATCGTGCTGGTCCTCATAGAAAAGAATTATACAATTTACTCAGGTATTTTAGTTTAAGAATTATACATGATTTACAGCAGTGTACCTATAACCTTCCTTACTGAAACAGTTCCCTTAGATTAATATTTTTTGCTCATCTGAAAACGTCTGATCTTGAAGGAGTCTTGAAATACAGTTGGCAAATATCTTCTCTCAGGGTTAAAATTTCACATAATGTAAGAGAAGCAAATGATTAGAATACACTGTTTCGAAATTTGTTAAACTTTTTAAAAGTTTGTCGAACCTTTTATAAGTACAAAAAGACCCCGATACTAACGAAATCCCAACCCTAGTTGATAGTCCCTTGTTGTAGGAATATGAATTATCATGTGATCACATTTGACTACAGAGGATACGCTGACTCCACGCAAATAGGAAAAGATTTAATTAAAATTTAACGTGGAAGATACCGACATTTTTCTGAATAGCGAAGGGTTTAAGAATGAGTGTCACTTTCGCGAGAAGCCGCAAAGAAAAGTAAATAATTAAAAAAAACATGCATAATGGATATCTTCAGGGTGGCCAAAATGTACGGATTGTACGGATTGTATGGATTGTTTTTTTTACCCTAAAATTGTACGGATTGTACGGACTTGTTTTCAAATTGTACGGATTGTACGGATTTTTATCCTGGAAAATACACCGTTTTTTTTAAAATTTTCACTCATTTAAGCAAATTTTTCATGAAAATTAAAAAAAAAATTCTCGTCAAAATGAAGTTAGTTTAACTTATTTTCTGCATTCTAAATAATATTAGATTTATTAATGTTTCAATTGACAATCAAAATTCATTCATAATTTTCGAGATATGTCCAAGAAGTGTTTATTTGAGAATATGTTCCATAAGTACTTATTTGATTNCATGAACTGAACACAAAGGATAATGAATGAAAAATTGAATTTTAATGTTTATTTTTCAAAAATGGAATTTTTTTCGAAAATTGTACTGATTGTACAGATTTTTAAAGAAAATGTACGGATTTAAAAAAAAATGTACGGATTGGTTTAAAAAAATGTACGGATTGTACGGATTTTTAAAAAAAAATTGTACGGATTGTACGGATTTTTTTTCGAAAATTGTACGGATTGTACAGATTTCTTCTAAAAATGTACGGATTTTTGTACGGATTTGTTCAAAAAAGTTTTGGCCACCCTGTATCTTGTTCATGCTTGGTTAAACAAACCTTTTAATTAAGGGTACCGTTGTAATTCGGACACGGCCATTTTTGCGTAAATTGTCAATTACAATTTCGCTTACAGTTCCTTTAGCTTAAAAATAAAGGGATCATTAGTTTAAGTGGTAAGATTGAATCTGATATTTATTTTATTTAAAAATTAAATCTGGATTTCTAAGCTCCAAATGAGACTGCTGTGGTGAACGATGCTAAGGTAAATTTATCAGAATTAATTAAAAAAATTGTGTTTTAGCATTGAATGTGTTCTATGTAGCAAGTTCTGACCCAAAAGAAAAGTTTCTTAGAAAATTATTAAGAGAAAATTTTGTTTAGATTAGTGCTTACAAACTATAGATTGTTATATAAGTTGAATATTAAATTTAGTAACATAATATTTAAGAATTAAAAATGGAGAGAAACCCAAGTTAGATGTAAATGGTTTTCTTGATCAAGAAATATTTCAATTTTCAAGTTTTTCATAAAATAAATCAAGATTATTGTAGTATCGAGTAAATATTAAAAAAAATGCTTTTCAACAAAAACAGAAAATTAGTAAATTTTTATCTTAATTATCAATTATTCGATGAAAACCTTAAAATTCTTATTTTGCAAAGAAAGTGAACACTCGGTCAACCTAAAATTCCTGTATCTTTGAAACCTGAAATATTTCTTACTTTGATAAGCTTAGAATCAGATTGCAAAGATTTTAAAAGGGATAGAAAATTACGATTTTGTATGAAATCAGCAGTTTCTGAGACCTGACTTAAATCGGTGTTAGGTATTGTCCCAAAGTCATCCCAAGGGTGACTTACCAAGTGACAATTCCCCAATTGGCAAATTCCCAAAGGTTAGGTTAGGCCCACTAAGGCACCGCAGGCTGCAATAAGGCCGAGCCATGCGGCTAGAACATGCTAGGTGGCTGAGCGCGGCTTGGGAAGTTGCCTCTAGGGAAATTTCACATTGGGAAGTTGCCACTTGGTAAAATACACATGGGAAGTTGCCGCTTTGGAAAAAGCCTTTGGGAAGTACCTAACATCTTTAAATCTACTAATGAATAAACCCTCTTATCTATTTTATTCAGGCTGTTTATGAATGGATTCGAGGGAAGGTTGGAACCTCGAGGCTTATTGTCTGGGGACATTCTCTAGGTACAGCAGTATCCTCGCATCTTGTATCAGATCTATGCTTGGAGGGAAATAGACCTGATGGACTCATCCTTGGTTAGTTTACATTCAACAGATTTAAACATAATTTTTGGTGTTAGGTACTTTCCAAAAGGCATTTTCCCAAGGACGACTTCCCAAGTGACAATTTCCCAAGCACGGCAACTTCCAAAATGTGCAATTTCCCAAGCGGCAACTTCCCAAAGGTTAGGTTAGGCCCTCTGAGGCGCTGCAGGCTGAAATGGGGGCCGAGGGCAGCGGCTAGGACAGACTTGGGAAGTTGCCGCTTGGAAAATTGCACATTTGGGAAGTTGCCACTTGGTAAAATACCTTTGGGAAGTTGCCACTTGGTAAAACACCTTTGGGAAGTACTTATCTAATTTTGTATCTAAAAAAGTAATGAATTCATCCTAGATTAACAGCACCGTTATGAATCTGACATGTCAGTCAACAGTCACTTGAAATTCGTTTACTTTTGCGGGGAATCTGATTAGTCTCTTGGATATCTATGTTTGATCTCGATATCCACAATTCAAGAATTTTTTAACAAAGGTTTAGAACACTATCAGCAATTATGCACAAGTAAACATAATTGGTCTGAAATGAATATTAATTTTCTAATCTACAATTTACTTTTCTTTACTTTCTTGGCGGTCTCTCCCTTTAACTATTTTCTTCGCTTTCTTGGCGGTCTATCCCTTTAACTCTTTACTATTTAGAGTCTCCATTCAACAACATATTTGATGAGGTCCGTAACCATCCCATGGCTTGGGTTTGGCGAAAGATGCCTTATTTTGACTGGTTTTTCACTTCAGGTAATTGATTTATTATTTCTACAGAACGAAATTTATGCAGAACATTTTCTTCAATTCGTGTTTCCCAGAAGTGGACATTGGGTCCTTTCTTCGTCAAATCTTTTAGTTGATCTTTTAAAGGATTTATTCATTGCAGAAGTCTAAATTTAACTTTCATATGTTTTGTAAGAAGTTTAACAAGAATCTGGGAGATTTTTATATTTTAAAATTGAATTTTAAGTTTGCTGTGAAAATTTTTTTTTCACAAAATAACAAGTGAAAATATTTTCAGTTTGTGAAGAATATTTAAATTAATTGTATTTATATTCTAATAAATTAAGCTATTTTTTTCTAGCATTGGAGAAGAACGATCTTGGATTTGTATCTGACCAACGAATATCGGTTGTAGACATTCCGATACTCATTCTTCATGCAAAGTAAGTTGGTTTCTTCATATTTTATCTTCTATATAATAAAGTACTTCACTCCTATATATTTAAATTATTTATATGTTGGCTATTGCTGGCCAAACAGCTGGACCGAATGGACTGACAATTATTGAGGGAATCCATGGGTGCCCGGGGAGTAACATAGGCTAAATAAATCAATATTTTCTTATAAAAATAATTTTTTTATTTCTTTAAAAATCTATATATTTGTCTTTTTCAAAATTTAATTTTTTTCCACGTGCAACGCCGTGCACTTGAGCTGTATCAGTGTATATTATATATTTATATTAAGTTTTTGTGCTTTGTTTGAATCCGATAAACGTCTAATAGGCCGGCATTAAAAACAAGACATTTTGGATTTATATGTACAAAGAAAAGATTTTCGCGTGTAAAACTTGAGTTTACAGCTAAAACTTTTATATTTTTTTTTTGTTTTCGAATAAAGTTATATTAACTTGGTTTCTGAGCGTAATTTCAAATGACCCTACGTTTTCAAACTGGGCGTGTCCAACTCACAATGGTGCAGGTGTCCTGCTTCATTTAATCTCTGATCCTCCCCCCCCCGTTAGAGTTTTAACAATTTCGACACAATGTTTGACACTAAAAGCAACGTTAAAACATTCAAAATTAGTAGATAACACGTACCTTACCCATTCTAAATGTGACCAATATAAGTTCACAGCCAATTTTCATTTACATATTTACTATAATTCAATGGTTACAAAAACAACAACATTGGTACTCATTTAACGTCTAACTCAAATAGGTTGTAAAGTACAATAGATGGCAACAGAAAAATCGACCAACTGCGCACAACGTCATATGTGTCAAATGAAAAAGAAAGACGACATGTCCTCTAATTAGTTGGTATAATTTCCAAGATTCGGTGGAGATAAATGTCGTCTTTGTTGGAATACGTAAAATATTTACAACTCAAAATTAGCTAGAGTATTTTTACTGCCGTTTGGTGGTTTCATTTTTTTCACTGTATATCTATGTAAACTAAATAGTCTGAGGGAGGGGGGGACGTCCAGGCCACAGCCCTCTAAGTAGCATTAAAGTAAATATTTCTAGGGTTATTATAGGTTTACTGTTCAATTTCTAAAGCCAGCTAATTTTTAAGAAAATTTAGACTTCTAACTTTTTGAAACACTCATACTTTATACGAATTTTACAAAAAATCATTTGGATTACCTTGTTTTAAAAGTGACGAAGTTTTGGTGGGTTAAACATTGACTTACGTATACACATTATATCATCATACACAACAACAACAAAAAACAATAATAAAAATACAAAAATATTTTTAACCATTTATTAAAACATAAATTGGCCTTTTTGTTGTAAATTTAGTATCATGTGATGACCTTGTTTCTTTACTTAGATGCCCTTTTATTTGGAATTTTACAAAAAGGTTGATAATGGAGATCTTGGTTCTTTTACAGTTATTGATGGGATTGCAGAGGATAAGAGAAATTTCCTTGCAGGGGAGATTTCTGGAAGTTTCGAAAAAGTCCTCAAATTTGGCTTAAAATCAGACTTAGCAAAATGAAGAGCACACACTCTGCTATCTCCGATTTCATTAGTGTCGTCAATTTTCAAAGAATTCAGCCACAATTTCTGCTTCTTTTTGTTCTTTGGAAATTAAAATCTGGATGTCCCAGGGGGTGGACGGCATCCAGGCACAAAACAAGTTCTTCGCCTGCCCCCTAAATGAAAAAATATAATTAATGAAGACCAAAAATACTATTTAATTCATAATAATGTAATGTTGACTTAGTATATGTTCAAAGTATACCTTTAAAGTACCCCCCCCCCTTGATGGATTTAAAATAAATAAAAAAAAAATCTGTCGTTTTTAATCAAAACAAATCACACAGACATCCATTTTGCGAAATTTAAATATAATATACATGTTATCTCACAAAACACTTTGCAGATCCAAAGTTTTGGCTGCAACAGATAACTTACATAAAATGTACGAAAATTTGTGATTTTTTTGGTTATTTATGAAAAAATGAAAATATGTAAAAAATCAAAATTTGAAAAATCTGGGAAATCGATTTTTCGGCTCAAACTCCATAATTAAAGAAGTGATTGTAACATAAAAAGAATGCCTGGAAATAAATGACTGAAATATCAAGATTTTTATTGTTAACATGATTGTGAACATTTAATAAAAATTGGTGCCTCTGCAGTACCCAATACCCCTGCTCTAAATTTTTGTTTGGGACACCCTGTTTATAATATATAGACTCCAATAATTTCATAAATAAAGCGCTTTCGAAAAATTTTATATATTTATTACATGTTCCCAAAAATAGTAAAATACGACATTTGAGAAAAAAAATTAAATATCCTTAGAAGACGACATTTCATAAGAAAATTACCGTTTCTTTTTGCCTGTATTTCCCCGGATCTGGGGGTTTTTCCTCGATTAGACCTTTCCAGAGCACTTCTCCAAAGATAGCATCAAACATTTCTGAAATATGTTATACTTTCGAATTACAATGTTAAAGGGTTATGTACAAAATCAGTTTCAACCTCGTTATTTAGTCTGTAGAACGTTAAATGAAAAAGTGTATAAACAGAAATAAAGAACATATAAAATTGCACTAATTTTACTAAAAAATAAACATTTTGGTCTAAAAATATCACTTTTATTTATAGTTTTGTCAGAGAGAAAATTTGAGTTGACACTTATGACGTTTAAACAGCTGTACTGAAAGTGTACGCATTCTGTGTTGCCATCTATTGTACTTGACAACCTATTTGGTCTAACTAAGCAACAATTTTTCATAAAACATGTTGAATTCTGACATTGTCTTACAGCTTAAATCTTCAACAAAAAAAACTTCAAATAAGAATAGTCAAGTTTCTGATAGAACACTGATGTATCTCATGACAATCGTTGTAAATCGGATACTGGGTCACGTGAAATAACGTTCTCAATTATTTTTGAAAAATTACTAAATATTGCTTGCAGGGATGATGCAGTGGTTCCGTTTCTCTTAGGAAAAGCTTTGCACGAAGCTGCTCTACTCACCAGAAATAAAGAATGGCCTGAGGTTGGTGCAATTTTCATATATTTTTATCATATTAATTTTTACATGGATTTCTTGGTTCGTTTGTTGGATCGTTTTTTTGCCTGTCAGGGTCCACATCAGGCCTAGCTATTGTTTTATTTTTTTTTTTAATTCTGAACAGCTGTTTTTCTTACATTTTGCAAAAGTTTAACCCTGACAGAAAATATATGTAAAAAAACGAATCTAAAACGACTCAACACGATCCAAAAACGAAAGCGTTAAAATGCTCGTTTTAAAAAAAAAATTTAAGGATAATATTATTGCAAAGTTAAAAAAGCAAACTTTAACTAATGACAGGTTGGAACTTCTATTAAAAGTTTCAATGTAAACGAATCCAAATCGAATAAAGACAACAAAATGAAGAAAATAAAAAATCGTTGATTTAACTCAAGATTTTTTACTTTGAAATATGAAAATATGAAAGAATAGAAGTAATTGCCATCAGACTGGAATGCGCTTAAAATTATTCATACGTTTTCCTACATTTAACGAAATGCTGCATTTCATAAAAGCTTTCATAAAAGCTTTCTTTTTATAAAATCTAACACTTGATGTAATACCCTTTGTCTCATCCAATCTTGATCTCAAGCAATTTTTAATATTTTTAAACCTTGATCCCATCCAATCCTTCATCCCATCTAATCCTTCATCTCATCCAATCCTTCATCTCATCCAATCCTACATCTCATCCAGTCCGTCATCTCATCCAATCCTACATCTCATCCAATCCTTCATCTCATCCAATCCTTCATCTCATCCAATCCTTCATCTCATCCAATCCTTCATCTCATCCAATCCTACATCTCATCCAATCCTACATATCATCCAATCCTACATCTCATCCAATCCTACATCTCATCCAATCCTACATCTCATCCAATCCTACATCTCATCCAATCCTTCATCTCATCCAATCCTTCATCTCATCCAATCTTACATCTCATTCAATCCTAAATCTCATCCAATCTTACATCTCATCCAATCCCACATCTCATCCAATCTGTCATCTCATCCAATCCTTTATTTAATATAATTCTCTAAATGAAAAATCTAAAACCTGTTTTTTTCTTTCTCAAAAATGATTTATTCAATATCCCTATTGAGTAATTTTATATCTGTGAAGGTATTTTTTACATATTTGAAATTCCACCTGAATCTGATCTTGGTATTTGGATGTATTTGGTTTAAATCTTGTTTTATCATCGATCAAAGTATTTGTTTATTTTTTGAAGAATGTTAATGTTTATATTCTACATCTGTGATTTCACTCATTGATTTTAATTTTGAATCACCAATTGATCTAAAAACAATTTAAATGAATTTACAATTCTTTTAACTAATCTTTCTATGAGTAAATTTTGCCCTAAGATGCAAGTTTAAGCAGTAATTTGAGTTTTTTTGGGTTTTTTTCCTGCGAGAAAATGTTATGAATATGTTGCTGTAGTCGACTACGTAGACTCAGTTCAACCATGTCTCTTAAACATTAACTGAGACACAAGAGAAGTGTAACAAGGTCTACTTGGTTCAAGTACGTAAACTCAGTTCAACCATCTCTCTTAAACATTAACTGAGACAAAGGAGAAGTGTAACAAGGTCTACTTGGTTCAACTCCGTAGACTCAGTTCAACCATCTCTCTTAAACATTAACTGAGACACAGGAGAAGTGTAACAAGGTCTACTTGGTTCAACTACATAGACTCAGTTCAACCATCTCTCTTAAACATTAACCGAGACAAAGGAGAAGTGTAACAAGGTCTACTTTGTTCAACTACGTAGACTCAGTTCAACCATCTCTCTTAAACATTAACCGAGACACAGGAGAAGTGGCTCAACAAGGTCTACTTGGTTCAACTACATAGACTCAGTTCAACCATCTCTCTTAAACATTAACTGAGACAAAGGAGAAGTGGCACAACTAGGTCTACTTGGTTCAACTACGTAGACTCAGTTAAACCATCTCTCTTAAACATTAACTGAGACACAGGAGAAGTGTAACAAGGTCTACTTGGTTCAACTACATAGACTCAGTTCAACCATCTCTCTTAAACATTAACTGAGACACAGGAGAAGTGTAACAAGGTCTACTTGGTTCAACTACATAGACTCAGTTCAACCATCTCTCTTAAACATTAACCGAGACAAAGGAGAAGTGTAACAAGGTCTACTTGGTTCAACTACGTAGACTCAGTTCAACCATCTCTCTTAAACATTAATCGAGACACAGGAGAAGTGGCACAACTAGGTCTACTTGGTTCAACTACGTAGACTCAGTTCAACCATCTCTCTTAAACATTAACTGAGACACAAGAGAAGTGGCTCAACAAGGTCTACTTGGTTCAACTACGTCCCTAAATCTCTCTGCACTATAATTCAAGATGAGCAAAACCTGAGAGTTGGGTCAGTTCTAATCAGATATTTGTTGCAGAGGTTTCTTGTAAATCGTTTATGGTTTTTTTTTAGAAATTCTTTCGTCCAACCCCTCTAGTTTTTATTTTACATCCTAAGAATTAAAGAACACTATACTTTTGGTTCGCAGTGCTGTTAAGTTTTTTGGGACAGAAATTGTCTCTTTATCGAGAAGGTTCAAGCCTTTGTCAGTTGGTGTTATTTACCTGCCTCCTTATCGCAATTTGTGCACAACCCCTCCCCCTTTTCTACCATTTTACCACAGGCTAGAACGGAAGAATGTGGACAACCTTTGCAGTTTAAATTCAGACATATAAATCTTTTAGTGTACTCTTGTTTAAACGTACCATGTTCGCAATATGCATTTTGGAATCTGCAATGCGATTTACTAAATGATTTTTTTTGTTTGCAAATCCAGTAAACGGGGTGGCGCTACAGGGGGGGGGGTTAAGAACTTAAGTTGCTCTTTGTTTGAATAAAAGGATTAAGCCATTGAAATGAAATGAAATGAAAGATAGATCGTGGAAGACCCCCAACGTACTAATTCCTGTATACGCTCCGAAGCACAGAATTTTTTTTAATGTAAAACCATATTATATAGTACCGCCCCCACCCCCCCGTATATAAGAATCATCAGTCCTATTCATATGTACTTTCTTAAGTCCGAAACCCTCTGCTAAAAAGTCTCAAGATGTGAAGAAATGGATTGTGGGGGGGGCTGGTAAACCATAAGATAAGAACAGGTCAGGTGTATGTGTGTGAGTGTGTGTGTGTTTGTGTAAGGGGTATTCTCATTTCAAGTTAAGTAAAACCCATCCCTGATCAGTATTCAATGTTGCAATACTATTTGTTTTCATTTTAAAATAAATAATTTGAAAAAGTAATATATACATACCCCTGCTAGAGTTGGGGTGCTCTCTCCCGTTCTTGGTTTCTTTATTGCTATTGCCCATATTTTTTATATCTTTAGAAATATTTGGTCTCCTGTGGTATTCATAAATAGATTAAAAGGTTTTACACTTACTCGTCAATATAACATTAAATTTGTTCCATAATTTTTTTTTCATGCATGAAAAAGTAAAAATGACTAAAAGAGCTAAACTAAACCACGTTGTAGTTAAACCATCAATATAGAAGACCCCCCTAGTGGGTGCATTACAGTCCCTCTCAACAGGACCTTTTTAGTGATGTGACCGCGCTTTTTTAACCAACAGTAGACCGGCACATTATTTAGAAAGGAGGAGAGCTCTATCGTTAAAATCTCTGTTGTCAAGCATTGTCTGCGGCACGGCTTGGGTGTATATAAGGTTGGAAATGTTGGAGAAGCTTCACTGATTCCAGGGACAGTCTAAGAGAAACATGGCCAAGGTGAAGCTTCTTTTTCATCAGAAATTTGTATGTCTTGTATTAGAAATATCTAAGTTGGACTAACTTTTGTAATAATATGCCACTTTTTAACCTTCATTAAAAGTTAAAGGAAGTTCAAGCCTAATTTCAAGTGACCCTCCATACTAAGATGGCCATGCCTGGTTCACAACAGTACCTTCAAAACCTTTGTCTGATCAAGTCTGAATTAGATATTAATGTTACTTATTTTGAAAATTGGTCATTTTCAATTGTGGTTTCTCTACAAAAGAGACTTGCGTATTTCTACTGCTGGAAAACATAGATAAATTATCAGAATTAAAAACTTCTAATCATAGAAAAACGACAATATCTTCCATATTATTAATCAGATAAATGTTTTAAGGTTACTATTGTGAATCTTGCATTGTTAAAAAACAATTAAAAAAGCTTTTTTTCCCAGTCCATCTTTTTTTGTGTTTATCAAGAGTAAAAAATTCTCATTTAAATTTTGAATTCTTCATTTGTATATATATATATCGTTCATTTCTTAGATTTATCTAATTATTATCTTTTTAGTTATTTTTTGTGTTTGCTTTGACTGGGTTGGCAGCTGCTGCACCATCAGCAGTAAGAGTGGCAACTCCCCTGGATCAGGAGACTGTCATTAATAACATCATGAAGAATCTCCAGCCTGCCATTGATCAAGCTATTGCTCAAGCACTTGGAGATGATGCATCTATCAACGTTGTTGCCTCTCAGGAAGTTGTTGGACCTGTTGACTTTACTGGAACAGTTGGAAACACCGACTACTCTGGCTCCTATGGATCTTCTATCTCAAGCTTCTCCTCCTCTCAACAGTCCAGCAATCATCAGCAAGAAAGCACTGCAAACCAGCTTTCTTCTGGTTATGAACTAAACTCTTCTTATGGAGTTGGTAGTTCTTATGGAGCTAGTGGTCTTTATGGAGTTTCTGGAGCAACCTTCCAGTCTAACACAAATGAAGAATCCAACCAGAACTTGTTCACTGAGTCCAATGAACAACAGGGATTTAACCAGGGAACTGCTCAGGTTGATCAATCTTCAACTTTCCAAACAAATGCTGATGCTGTTCAATCACAGGTTGGAGCTGTGCATTCCCAAGTTGCTGCTGTTCAATCTCAGGTCGCAGCTGTGCAATCCCAGGCTAAAAAGGCTATTCAAACTTCAACCATTTCTTCCTCTCAGCAGGTTACTCTTGTTCAAAATGTAATGAACGCTTTGGTGCCTAGTATTGAAGCTGCAGTTCAGTCTGCTCTACTAAGTAATCAACAGCAGCAAGCCAATTCTATCTCAACTGCAAGCCAGCAGACCCTTGTTTCAAATGTTCAGCAAACTTCCACCTCTACAGCTTCCACCTCTGAGGAGAGCACCATTGTTTTTAAGATTATTGAGGTCCTTACTCCTTCTATTACTGTATCTGTAAGGAAGGCTCTTGCAGCTCGTGCTGCTGCTGCTGCTGCTGCTGCTCAGCAACAAGCTGCTCAATTCCAAGCTTCTCAGGTCAACTCTCAGTCTCAGACATCTTCTTCATCCTTGGACTCCAGCAAACTTGTTGCTCAGATTGTTGCTGCTCTAAGGCCCTCAATTTCTCTTTCTGTTCAACAGGCTCTTGAAGCCTCAAGGGTATCTTCTTCCAGTACACAGCAGTCCTTCAACCAGGCTTCAAGCTCAGCTAGCCAGGGATCTAGCTCCTTGTCGAGCACATCATCCGGCTCTCTGTCCTCAATCTTTGGAGATGGAAAGGCCCACAATGTTCGTGTAGAAACTCCTGAGTACACCATTGAGTATAACAACTAAGAATTTGCATAAATTCCTCCCTATAATGACACCAATATAAATTTGTTTTTTGGCTGATAATTATTTTGTATTTATGATGACAAATAAATGAAAATTAACTTTACAATTTTTAAGTGTGTGTATTTTTAAGAAGAGAGTATTGTTGATCTAATACTAAGAAATGATAAAGAAAATAAAAATTTCAGATACAGGGTGGTCAAAATGTACGGATTGTACAGATTGTTTTTTTTTTAACCCTAAAATTGTACGGATTGTACGGATTTGTTTCCAAATTGTACCGATTGTACGGATTTTTATCCTGGAAAATACACCGTTTTTTTAAGTTTTCACTCATTTCAGCAAATTTTTCATGAAAATTAAAAAAAAATTCTCGTCAAAATGAAGTTAGTTTAACTTATTTTCTGCATTCTAAATAATATTAGATTGATTAATGTTTCAATTGACAATCAAAATTCATTCATAATTTTTGAGATATGTCCAAGAAGTGTTTATTTGAGAATATGTTCCATAAGTACTTATTTGATTGCTTATCCAAGAAGATGTTCCAGTATCCTGTACCCAGTATCATGTACCCAGTATCATGTACCCAGTATCATGTACCTAGTATCATGTACCCAGTATCCTGTACCCAGTATCCTGTACCCCTTATCATGTACCCAGTATCCAGTATCCTGTATTCCCTACCCAGTATCTTGTAACCAGTATCATGTACCCAGTATATAGTACCCAGTATCCTGTATCCTGTATCCTGTATCCTGTATCCTGTATCCTGTAACTTGTATCCTGTATCCTGTATCCTGTATCCTGGATTCTGTATCCTGTATCCTATATCCTGTATCTAGTATCCTGTATCATGTACCCAGTATCCAGTATCCTGTATCCTGTATCCTGTTTTCTGTATCCAGTATCCTGTATCATGTATCCAGTATCCAGTATCATGCACCTAGTATCATGTACCCAGTATTTAGTTTGTATATATGTATGAAGCCAATTTTTTACTGATTGATTCTTGCTGAAGAAGTTTAAACCCTCTTACATGAACTGAACACAAAGGACAATGAATGAAAAATTGAATTTTAATGTTTTTTTTAAATGGGATTTTTTTCGAAAATTGTACTGATGGTACAGATTTTTAAAAAAATTTACGGATTTTTAAAAAAAAATGTACGGATTGTACGGATTTTTAAAAAAAAAATTGTACGGATTGTACGGATTTTTTTTCGAAAATTGTACGGATTGTACAGATTTCTTCTGAAAATGAACGGATTTTTGTACGGATTTGTTCAAAAAAGTTTTGGCCACCCTGCAGATATCCTCACATATTTGCACTTCCCACACTAGTATTTTATTTAAATATTTTAATTTTCACAATATTTTTTTTTACTTGGAAACATTAATGCCATTTCAAATTGTACTCTCAGCAGGTTTTATTTTATTTAATAAGATTTAACAGTCAGATGAGGAAATTCAAACGATCTGATTTTGAAATCAACAAATGGAGTTTACTCCATTTATTAATTTTAAAATAAAAATTCAATTGGAGCAATAAATATCCAAATATTTTTTCAGGCAGAATTTGTCGAATTTGAAGCAGAGTTTGGCTACGGACATAAGTACATATGTCGAGATCCTGGTTTACCAGAGATAATTAGGTTATTTTCTTTATTATTTCTCTCTTCTTGTTAATCTTGATATTTATTTGTTTTCAAGATTCGCTTAAATTTCAGGATTAGTTTTTGTAAATGATTTGATTTTTCTTCAGTCAGGAACAAAATATTGCCAAATGTAATGGGAACCAACTTAAAGGGAATAAAATTTTTAAATATTTATGACAAATTATAATTTTTTCGAGTCTCGTGGATGTCTTAAAAAAATGCATACAAAATTTCGCATTAAAATCCAGTATATTCTTTCTTGGTTTAAGACTTATGTTATTTTTTGGAAGAAAGAAATGTATTATCTGCATGTGTATTGCATATTTTTGGCCACTAAAATATTACAAAATCTTGTTGGCTTCCTAAAAATTATTTTGAAGATCAGTGGTCCATTTTCCTTAAAATCTTGAAAATATTTATAAATCTCTGTAGTACACATATGCCCTTTTAAAATGAATAATTAATGTGTTTTTTTACCCTTAAATTAATTGTTAAGACGGTTTGAGGCGAGATGTGCTTAGATCAAGAAGTTGGTTTTTCTTACGCTAGTGTACTTATGTCCACATACTTGAATGATCCGAATACATTGTAATGTACAGAGTACATACACGATCAGAATCTGGATTGTACAGAGTAAATACATAAGCAGAAGCTGGATTGTAAGAGTACATACATCAGCAGAATCTAGATTGTACAGAGTACATACATGAGCAGAATCTAGATTGTACACTGTACAGAGAACATACATGAACAGAATCTACATTGTACAGAGTACATTTGTGAGCAGAATCTGAATTGTACAATACACTACAATTCGAATTTGGTTTTTATATTGTACAGAATACAAAGATGAGCAGAATCTGTTTTTACATTGTACAATGTACAGAGTACATACACAAGCAGAATCTGGTGTGTATACATTGTACTGAGTACATAAAGCAAAATCTGGTGTGTATAAATTGTACTGAGTACAAATTGCTTAATTTTCGTCGTGGATTATGTATTATAATAATACACCACTTGAGTGTCAAATACTTTAACTTTTGGTTGTATCGAATAGATATATGTATCTGCAGTCTGAATTATTGAAATTTTATGCAAAAATGACTTATTATGATTAGAATGGAAATAATAGTATTGTGGAAGACGATGTTTCGCGGCCTCCAAAACAGGGTTCCACAACTGGAGATGAACGCGGAATTATCCTTATCCTCGTGAATCTATCTTTAGTAGTTATGTAAAAGTTTTGCTGGATAAAGAAATATATTATATTTCTTTATCCAGCAAAACTTTTACATAACTACTAAAGATAGATTCACGAGGATAAGGATAATTCCGCGTTCATCTCCAGTTGTGGAACCCTGTTTTGGAGGCCGCGAAACATCGTCTTCCACAGTATGATATTATCTAATTGAATTGATTTTAACCAAACTCATTCGTAATGTTATGTCAAATTTAAGAAAATCACTATTAAAAGACAAACTTTGTTAAAATTAAAAAAACATACTTTTGCGTTTACTAAATCATTAAATATTTTTTAAATGTAGAAACAGCTTGGCCAATGACCATTCATAATCATTTCTCCTTATACACCGGAAGCATTTGGAAATAAGAATCATACTGTTAGTTGCTTTCTCAACCTTTATCAACCCTGCAGTTGTATATATCTTAAAAATGATTTTTGTTTTGATTTTGAAAGTAAATCTGTTTTGTGCATAACACGATTTAAATTAAATTTTTAGTTAAGAATTTCCTAGTTTTGATTATTGTATTCTTATTAAGCTTAGTAAAAAATTTAGTAATTTAATCTTTGTATTAGAATTTAGTACACTTATACAATACATGCTTATACTAATGAGCTTGATTAGATATTTTTAGACTTTTTTGCTTCTGTCACCGGTCAGATTATTTTTAAATAGATGTAACCATCTGATTTTTGATTTAATAAATGTGCAATATTTAATAAATACATGATCTTTATCGTTAATTAAATATTCAGACTTTTTCAGAACAAAATGTCAAGGATCCAGTCTGATCGGAATAGTTATATGTGTTACGTGGAAACAAAGAAACTTCGCAAACTTTCATTTTGTTCACACGACAAGTAAGTTCTTTCGTCAGAACTATTTTTGTGCATAGAATTTGTTCGTTGTTTGGTTCGTTTTTGTACACGGTTTCCTTTTAGGGGTTAAAATTTGACATTGTAAGAAAAGCAAATGATTTTTTTTTGTGAAATATTCGCTGTTATTCATCTATTTTGATCCTAACAGAAAATATTTGCCTAAAACTAACGTTATTGTCATTGTAAATTCAAATGGCCCTCCGGTATTCCCGATTCACAATGGTACTTAAATTAATGTGGCAGATACCGTCCTTTATCCGGCTTGAAAAGTGTTTAATTCTAATGATTTATACTTTGTTTTTGTTTTCAGTAAAAATGTTGCAAGTCACTTCTTAGATAAACCACAATTAACACAATTAGAACTTGTCAGTTTTCATTTACTTGATCAAACAAAGATTTTAAGGGTACTTTTGAGAATCTAGCATGACACTCTAAAAATGGAGAGACATTGAAATTGCGTTTACAGACCCTTGAAGACCCAGAACTAGCTCCTTAATTTTTTCATTAAATTTCAAATAAAAGGACTGATGGGTGCCGGCACAATTTCAAATAAAAGGACTGATGGGTGCCGGCACAATTTCAAATAAAAGGACTGATGGGTGCCGGCACAATTTCAAGTGACCCTCAAATAAGAGATTGAAAAATGATATCCACAATGGGACCTTTGTTCACTGAAAGATTAATGAGATATCCTTATGTTTCTTGCTGAAAGTTAATTATTGTTAAGTATGCTGTCTCCAGAAAATGGACTTGCGGATAATTGTAGAAAATTGTTAGAATTTACCGCGAGTAATGATGGATTTTTCAGTTTTACCCTTAAATCTTCAGTTGCACCCTTTAATTCTTCAGTTCACCCTTTCATTCTTGAAGTTAACCCTTTAATTCTTCAGTTCACCTTTTAATTGTTGAGTTTAATCCTTTAATTCTTGAGTTTGACCCTTTAATTCTTGAGTTTGGCCCTTTAACTCATTAGTTTGACCCTTTAATTATTTAGTTTGGCCCTTTAATTCTTCAGTTTCACCCTTTGATTAATTTTTGAGTTGACCCTTTTTTTAATTCTGAAGCTATCCCAGGAGTTCTGTATCTGATTGTACATGTGGAGAAAATTTAGAAAGCACTTTTGACTGGAGATGGGACAAGGTTAGATTATAATTAAACTGTTCAACAGTTCGGTCCTTGTCCTTGCAAGCTCACACTTTTGGTCACAATTGGTTTAATTAAGCGTAGAGTTTTGAAAATGTTTTAAGAGCAGAGATATGGTAAGATATAAAAAAGTGTTGAAAGAGTAAAAAAAATGTTAAAAAATGAAGAAAAAGATTTAAATAGCCAAAAAAAAAAAAATTAAGTCGGATCCAAGTGGATCCGAATTCAGTTAGATTGGATCCAGAATAAGGTCATGTTAGGCTAGGTTGGATCCAAGTCGGATCCGATCCGGATCCTCAGGTTAAGTTACCAAATGCTAACTTTGTATTTTAAAATTTTAAATTTTATATCCAAACTTGATTGTATCAAAGAAGAAACCGAACGCATCTCGCCCTGGTTAGTTCAGCACTCTCCACTAGCGATACCATATCTTCGGTCAGTGTACTGCTAATTACTGCAGTACGCACCGAAGCGTAGTTGAGGGTGTCAGGCTGACCGTGTTTCAATAGAAATGTTTTTAAATCAATGTTATTTTTCATCTTATAAGTCCCATCAATTTGTTACATTTACTATAATATTTCTTGCCAATTTGATAGTGTTTTTTTTATGTGTGGATTTACATATGCATTGATCCTTAAAATATTCCATAAAAATGCGCTAGATTTCAAAATTTCGCTTTTCAGTTTTACCTATGAAGGATTTGGCAACATGAACATTGATCATTATAAGCTTTTCTCCTGATTTGGCGGATTTCACAATTTTTTTCTGTACCTTCCAATACAATATATCTTGTATTTCAAATATCTGTTTAAAATGTTCAGGAAAATTCCTCTGCATTTATTTCACCTTGTGGGACTTCTGTAAAGTTCCATCCCGTCTTTAGCTCCGGGACATCTGTAGCCATAGGTAAAAAACGGTAACTGAGCCAACGAGATTATTGTACGAACCTGTGAAAAAAACGATATTTTTTGTTACTGAAGGAACGAATTTACTGAACGATCGTGTTAGAAAACGAACAAAACAGATGGAAAATGAACGATAACTTCCTTCGAGATTTCGTCCGAAGTCTCTTTAAGAATATACATGTTAAGGGGATGAACCGCTTGTATCTGGATTTCAATATTACTGGGAAGTAAAGCTGACCAGCCCCGCTTATGGAACTGATGTTATGATTGGTCTCGCCACCAGGTATATTTAAAGGGTATTACTAAAACGTTACTTCCCAGAGCAGTAATCATTATGTTTTATTTTTTGCATAATTATAAAATCAATGGACAGTTTAGTAATATTTCATCTTATTCCTATTATAACAGTAAATGGTCGGCAATGTTTGCCAAAAGATAGTTAGATAGTAGAAACTATATCTTGTTTTTTTTCAGTGACGCCAACCTTAATTCCAACAGAAACCATTTCTCTAGTATAATAGGGATATAATTAAAAATTATAAATAAGAGACATAAATACAGTGTGTCCTATCAATCCTGCCAGTTCACAGGATTTTGATGCATTTCTTGTTCAAGTTAATAACTTTTTTATTAAATATTTTTTGCCCGTGGAATCTCAAAAATCTTTCCAAAATTCGACAGAAAAGGACCTCATGTGCTCATGCCACTTATACTATCTTATACAGAGGGTAGGGAATGTTAAATTTGTTTAAACTCTATCGGTTTTTGTTTTGGTTACAGGGAACATACATTTGTAAAATTTACAGTTTTAATTACTGCATGACCAAGTGATAAACACTCTATTCATGTTTAATAGTTTGAGGGTACAAACAAAGAATATCGATAAGTTTTAGAATATCTGCGTGTTGTTTGTTATTTCCGAAATTTGTCTCTGAAAAGTTTCTTTTCCCGGATTTTCTCAGCTTTTTGATTCAGCAAAATCTACAAAATTCAAGACAATTTTGATCCTTAAGAATTTGTACTATATGCATATTTTGTGAAGAATAATTATATTTGGCGGTGGTAGGACGGGACAACGAGAGCTGGGGCTTTTCATATCAAGGTTAGCTTTCTCAAGAGGACATATTTATTTCACAATTTATTTGGAAATTAGAACATTTACACATATGGGACAGTTTATTTTTTTTGTACAAAAAATATTTAGAATGTTTAGACCAACATTGTTTAAAGGATGATTCAACACATTTTCTACTGAATCCTGTCATTTATTTCTTGTTTCATTTTGTAAGGTTATAATTCAACTGTAAGTTTCAACTGAAATTGTGAATCAAAAATTAAAATTTGTAATAGCCTTCCCTTCTGCAAGGTGTACCTGCCATATCCCTAAACTTGTACACTCACAACTATAATTATTTATTAACGAGTTAAAGACCTCCCCCCCCNGTAGTTTGGCCTGAATTCAGTTGAATTGATAATACGATGGTAAACGCACTGTGAACCCCTCCTCCTTTAATACTTCCCTGCTTTCTCTCAAACTAAAACACGTAAAAGCTCCCTTTCAACTCAAACCATGTAACAACAAATAGATTCTTTTCTCTGAGACCATTTTTTACGATTCTTTAAAAACTATTTTTTTTACTCGAGAATTAGGAAAAATATAAAATATTTTTTTTCAAAACTGGAGGAGTTAAAATCTCGTTATCTGTAAACCCGTTTCAACTCAATATCACATAGACAAACCATTACAGTTTAAATGCCAATAAAAAATGATGTAATTAAAAATTTAGTCACTGTGGACTACAGATGATATTGATGATTAGAAAGCTTTTAAGACTAGAGATTTTGAACGTATAAATCAGATTAATTAAAAAAAAAAAAATTAAGAAAACACTTTTTTGACCTTTTTCCCTTTACTAAAAAAGTAGATAAAAGTTAGTGATTTGGAAAAAAAGTGTTTTCATCACAGTTTCATTTTCTTATTTTTCTTTCCTATTTTGATTCAAGGAGAGCATAATTTCTTTGAAAACATTTATCTATTTTAAGTTTGCTGAAAAAAGCTACAACTTACTATAAATTTAAATATAATTTATTTTTATTTTTTTTCGAGAATAATACCAATAGTTAGTCCATGCACGTTTTTTTGGACTTTTTGACTATTTCAATGTTTTTTGATGTTTTATATTCGTAAAACAACTTGAATTAAACGGACTTTAGAGTGGGAGATTTTCCAGTTCACGAGGGTGACCTGTACACTTTTGAGTGTTTAAAATTATCCCTGTTTTTGCACCTCAAAATTGATTATTTTCAAATGCCATTTTTCTATAAAATGACTTGCTTGATTAACGACAATGGAGTAAATGGAATCTTATATTTTTAGATAGAAATACGACTAAATCTGCTTTATAGGTCCACCTCCTTATAGTTCATATTTTAGATAGAAATACGACAAAACCTGCTTTATAGTTCAACCTCCTTATAATTCATTTTTTTAGATAGAAATACGACTAAACCTGCTTTATAGTTCAACCTCCTTATAGTTCATATTTTAGATAGAAATACGACTAAACCTGCTTTATAGTTCAACCTCCTTATAATTCATTTTTTTAGATAGAAATACGACTAAACCTGCTTTATAGTTCCACCTTCTTATAAATCATATTTTAGATAAAAATACGAGTAAACCTGCCTTATAGTTCCACCTCCTTATACTTCATTTTTTAGATGGAAATACGACTAAACCTGCTTTATAGATCCACCTCCTTATAATTCATTTTTTTAGATAGAAATACGACTAAATCTGCTTTATAGGTCCACCTCCTTATAGTTCATATTTTAGATAGAAATACGACTAAACCTGCTTTATAGATCCACCTCCTTATAATTCATTTTTTAGATAGAAATACGACTAAACCTGTTTTATAGTTCCACCTTCTTATAAATCATATTTTAGATAGAAATACGAGTAAACCTGCCTTATAGTTCCACCTCCTTATACTTCATTTTTTAGATGGAAATACGACTAAACCTGCTTTATAGATCCACCTCCTTATAATTCATATTTTAGATAGAAATACGACTAACCCTGCCTTATAGATCCACCTCCTTATAGTTCATATTTTAGATAGAAATACGACTAAACCTGCTTTATAGATCTAGCTCCTTATAATTCATTTTTTAGGAACTTATAATAATTCATATAAAAGTTTAAAGGGACCATTGTGAATAGAACATGCCACTTTATATAGAGGTTCTCTGAAAATTTTATCTAAAGTCATTTTAAATTTTGTGATTAAACGTCTGAAATCAGAAAATCAAGTCAGAGGTGCACTGGAAATTTTTTATGAAGTCACTTTAATTTTAATTTTTTTTATTAATTTAGTCATTTGGTTTTTTTAGTCAATAAATCGATTCAAATTTGCCATGACCTTTTCCTAGCTACCTGGAATTTAAAACCACCATCCACAAATTAATTATTTATAAATCTAGAATCAATATAAATTTTGCCTGTCTTCGTGCAACAGTCTCATCTTATCCTTATTCAGTTTTAGATTATTGTTTTAAACAAATTTATCGTTTATCAATTGTATACTTAAACTTGTGTACATGAATAGTTAGAATTTTTAACGCATTTTTTCAATTCTTTGTTTATTAAATTTCCAGGTTAAAGGATAGATTTTGCAGATTTACCTGTTAACATATTTTCATCACTCTACTGAAATTAAAAATAATTTATGTTACCATTGTAAATCTCTTGGAATTAGCTAACCGGCCAATGACCATGTTCGTAAAAATTGAAATGAGATTGAAATGAAATTGAAATCATAGAAAAAATTATTTTCGTTTTTTATTTAAGTTATTTTAGGATACACTCAGCATTCTGGTGTTAGGCATAAGGCAGGAAAACCTCTACTTTTTATTATTTTTGGATCAGTAAAATCTAATGTGTCCAGATTGCTGAGCCCCCTGGACGAATTCCTGTGTTCGCCCCTGATTTTTGCATAATTCTGAGCAACTATTCCTCGATTTAGCGCAATTTTCAATGGAACAAAAATTGCTATAAATATAGAGAATTGAGTATTTAGTATGTTTGTCGTGGTCGACCTAACTCTCCCCTTCAGGAATCGATCTGGTCCCTTGGTTCCTTGGTAGGACTCCATCTTGATACTTTCAGGTCGAACTTACAAAAACATTTTTTGGTTTAAAGGGAGTGACCGGCTATGTAAGGTAGTTGAACTGAGTATGCAGTGTTGTGGAAAACTTCTTTCGGGTTCATTTGAGACTTATTAAACTTGAGCGCAAATTCAACGTTCAAACTTTTTAAAGATCCTGAGTTTGACGTTCAAAACTCCTACTTTGGGGGTGGATACGTTTTCAGAATTCGTTTTTTTAATTATTAAACAACGACAACAAAAAATAAAGGAAATGTTATACAGTAATCTAATTAGATGGTTAGGAACATATTTCTCAAAAGAGATTTGTCAATAAATCAATGCTAAAATCGATTATGTCGTTTTCATTATTAAATTGAATTTTTTCTTCTGTGAATTTATTCGCAGATTTATTCAAATTCTTTAAATGTCGTCTTTTCAATAATAATTCTAGAAAATCTGCGAAAATCTTTGTGAATAATGAGAAACTAGAATATTGAGAAAATAGAAACTAATAATTAAGCAAGATTACTTATTTTCCATGATAAGGTTTTTTTTTTCTTTTATCAACATTTTCCTATACATGACGTCTGTAGTCTAATATAGAACTTTTTTTACATTCTATGTCGTTATTTAATAATTAAAAAAAAAACTAATTCTGAAAACGTATCCACCCCCAAAGTAGGAGGTTTGAACGTCGAATTTAAAAAGTTTTATATGTCTCAAATAAATCCGAAAGAATTTTTCCACAACACTGCATACTCAGTTCAACTACCTTAAATAGCCGGTCACTCCCTTTAAAATTGAGTGTTAAGATGACAATGCCCGATATACAACGGTACCCTAAAAAGCTTTGACTGATTAAGTATAAATTCTATATCCCTGAATTTGTTTATTTAAAAGAAGCTATGAAGAAATTATCTGAATTAAACTACATCTTTGTTTTCTTCCACATTTTTGATCAGATTAAGGTTTAAAGGTACATTTGTAAATCGGCCATTTGTTATGTTTGCATGGAGGTGCACTTGAAATTACCCTTACAGTCCCTTTAACAAGTGATTGGTAAAAAAGTGAGACCTCCCTCCCCATCCTAAGAAATATGACTCAGCAGATTCGAGTAAAATATGAAGCGTAGCAACATGTATGACGTAAAACAAACAAATATTCTAGGAACAGGTTGTTCAAATAATTCTAGAAACACGTTATATTGGTAGTTATAATCAAACAATACTTCACTTTCAAAAATTAACCAAGATTATGACGGGAAGATGAATTATAAGAAAGAAAATCGGAGAACAAGAAGTGTAGTGCAGAGAACGATGAGTAACAAGATATTAAAAAAAACAGTTTGACAAATTTTAAAACACTGTACAATTTGAATATTAAATTTGATCTTGAATTGATTCATATTTTTAACACCCGATTTTTAATATGTTGATAAATCCCTTTTCATGTTTAAAAAAACTTATATTCGATGTTTAATCATCAATTCTAATAGTTTTGTTTAAGAAATAAAGGAATACCCAAAATGCAATGAATATTGCATTTTTTCTACAAATCAAAGAAAATATTGATGAGAAATTGTCGAGTATTTACTTTTTTACGTAAGACGATATGCCCTGGGCATGTTTTTAAAGAAGAATTCGAGCAGTTAAGGGCATTTATGCTTGTGCTTCGGGCATGAAAATCTTTGCATAAACTACGTATATTTATTGTAGGGGCACTGTAGAGTTCTATGTTAACAGAAAACCTTGTGGAATAGCTTATCAAGGTCTCAAGAATAAAACCCTGTTTCCCGTGGTTAGTTCTACGGCTGCAAAATCAGGTTAAAATTTTATTTTTGACAATAAAAATTATCTGCAGCCCACCCCTCGTCCCCCCTTTTTGGGAGTGATGAGATTGCAGGGTTAAATTGGACCAAACACAACATATTCACAAGCTGTAAACAAAACAATTTTTTTTAAATGACATGAAATAAAAAGTTGACATTTTTATATTAGAAAAGGATTTAAGTTCATCTACTACTTTTACTAATGACGAAAAAGATCAATTTAGAAAAAGTTTCAATTTACAATTTATTCACGACGATTTTGGTATTGACATACAATCTAATGTCTGCTGCTTCATTTGACACATTTAGATGTCATTTATATCGTGCTCACTGCTCATGTTTAAAATCTTCTTGTGCTTCAGATGCGTCTTTCTTCTCACTTTTTGCCATATCAGTCACTTGGACTCCAAAACTGCTGATGGAAGCCAGCATTGTAGAGATTAAATTCTCAGCTCCTTTTTGCAGAGCGGTAGCATCTCCACCCTTTGTAGTTTCTATAGCAGCACTTGTAGCTTTTGCTGCACTTGTCACGGCAGTTAATGCAGCAGACTGAATTGATTCTCCTAGCTTCCAAGCTTCTTTACACGCTTCATTCATCTGCTCTCTGCTCTCTTTGCTCATATTTTCTTCCATCCAATCTAGAACCAGGTCGTTTTGTCTTCCGTTCCTACCCTCAGGTCTCGTGTTCATCATTCCATGGATAAACTTGAGAATGCTTGGCATCGTGTGGTCTGTGGATCCTATTCTAAGCATGATATGATGATCATGAACACCAGTTGACTCACACTCTTTGCAGAGGTCATAGTTAGCACAATATAGGCATTTAAACCTCAGTCCTACAACAGAACCTTGACAAACATCACAAACTATCCCAGGATGCACTTGTGGACTGTTTCCTGTAGAGTTTATATGTTTTACCAGAAAGAATGTGAAGACTGGACCTTGCATTACACTAAATGCCCGTGCAAGATCTTCATCTGTGTTCAGCAGTATATTTACTCCCTCTGAAGTTTTGTAGTAGATAATGATCTCCTCTTTGATATCATTAAAGATAGAGTACACAATTCTATCCAGATCTTTTAGTGCGAGGATAGCTGACGTGTTTGTAAACATTCTTCTCTCTTCTCTGTCCTTCTCCTGAAGGACAAATATTAATGAAATATTGGAACACATTTTTCAATAAGTGTCCTTTAGTTACGAGTCCAACAAAAACTAAAAATATGTTTGTCCCTAGTTCTGTTTTATACTGAATATATCAGATATTGCCAGGTTTATCCTATACATGAAGCCTCTAAGTGTGTTCTTAGAAACATTATAAAAATAATTCCTTCTTAGCTGAAAGTCTATATGCTTGACACCTTAAACATACAAGTTAGCAATTTAATTAAGACGTATTTCAAAACCCAAAAACATGAATTAAACAAGTGTCCAAACTCAACTTTGATATATATGAAACTCAGCTTGTTTGGATTTTTTTGCTCAAAAAGCTATTAAGTAGTTATTGGAACATGACTTATTATGGATTAAAAGTTATCTAGAACATCCCTGCAGGAATAACATTAATTGAGGGATCAAGCATTGATCCTCAAATTTAAAAATGCCCACATTATATATCGAGATCAAGTGTTCCAGATTAACAATATTCACACAAAAATTCCTAAACTCAACAATTGTATTTTTAATTATGATAAAATAAAAAATGTGTATTTTCTAAACAAAAAATTTTTCAAGTTACCATCTATTTACATGTGACATGTCCGATTCACAACGGGGCCCTTGAAACCTTTGTGTCATCAAGGATGAATAAGATATAGGAATTTATCTATCAGAAAATAAATTCTTTTTAATTGTATTTGTCAGGTTTGAAGTTGACCTGCGCCGCTTCACTTCCCACTTCCCTTCAGTTCTATTCTATTAAACAATATTCTCAGGTAGGCTTCTCGTCAACTTAGTAGAGTGAGGAAGGGAACCCCTGGACGCCATGAGCCTCCGCTATGCAGAAACGAGCCTCCCAGATTTTCTAGGCAGACCGAGCCTTCACTATGCAGACCAAGTCTCCGCTATGCAGACCATGCCTCCACTATGCAGTAAACGAGCCTCCAATATATAAAGCACAGTTTTTTTAAATCTTGGTTTTTATGTGTAATAAAAAATTTAACAATTTTTTGACGTAGTTGCATAAGAATTATAGTTATTTATTTATTGTCATGATTAGAAACACACATGGACTCATAAAGTAATTTATAAGATTTATACTAAAACTTTAAACATTTCATACGCAGAAAGGAAGATATTTTGGAGAAATATTTCTGGAGTAAACTCATTTTGTTTTTTTTTGTAATCTTTGATTTAAACAATACCTTTTTAAAAAAATATTAAGATTTGAATAAATGATACAAATTTTCTAGATTTAATTTGAGCTACAAAAAAGGTATCACTTAAATCAAAGATTATAAAAGATGAAATGTAATTCAATTCAATTTTTTTCTCTAAATATTTTCCTTTTCATGTAAAACTTGAACTTAAGACACAAGTTTAAAAAAACCTTCTGTATTACAGGAATATTTTGATGTATTGCGCAGGCTCGTTACTGCATAGTTGAGGCTCGGTCTGCCTAGCAAATCTGGGAGTGTCTGCTTAGCGGAGGCTCACGGCGTCTGGGGGTTCCCTCCTTCGTAGAGTGGAACTCATTAAACTTTGTAACTTGAAAGCGACTGCAATACTCAAGTTATTTAAATAGTCCAATGAACATGGTACATAGCTATTGTGCAGTTTAACCTCTACACCCTGCACCGTACACACACAGACCCATTTCACTTTAACCCCATCTCTGCTAGGGTACTTGAAAACCAGGATATGCTGGGGGGCCCTCTAAATCCCATGTTTGATGTCCAAATATGACAAATTATACATTATAGGAAAGCTCTCTTGTGCTCTACTTTTAGAATCTGCAAAAAAAATTGCAAATTTGCAAAAATTGAATGTTTTATCGCAAAATCCAGTTATAAAGAAAAAATGTTTGCAAGAAAAATAAATGAAAAATTTTAACAGCCTCAGACCAATACTTTTTGAGTTATGAAAAAAAAAACTACAGGGAGGGTCAAAAGTTTAAAGTAAAGAGTACCATGACATGCCCTTCCTTAAATGGAAGGTCATTTGAAATTTTAACTGCAGTTCCTTAAATAGTAATTTTTATGTTTTCCCACATATAATGTCTTTAACTATTGCGCAATATCATATCTCATCTGCACAAATCTTCAACTCTTTTTATNAAAGACCTATTTAGAAGTATAGTCCAACCGGAAGTACTCTACTCCTATGCCTTCCTCCTGGTCTTGCTAAATCTACTCTCCATAAATATTGGTTCTTTTTCCATCTGAGTCAGAATACATGGTAGGTGAAGGGAATTTTTTTTTATGACTTAAAAGAACTTGATTTCAAGTGAACTTTTTGGGGGAATTTCATGCTCGATTGAAAACGCTTTCTGTTAAATCAATGTCTACGTAAAATTGATTTTTTGTCTAAAAATTGATAATTTTTATTGCACTCCTTTGAAAAATTGACATGTAGATTTAGGCAGCAAAGACAATGAATGACATAGAGATATTTATGTTTTAGACAGAAAAATGAAGATAGCTAACCCGATACTTATTCAAGGGTACCATTGTGAATCGGCGTGTGACACGTCTGATATTATATAATAATAAATTATTGTTGATATATCAGGGATGATAAATTCTTGAAAGATGATTCTTTTGATATCTCGAGTGCAGCTGATACATCAGGTTTGTAATATTTTTTTGTGACGACGTTTGTATTATGTGTTTACATATATTTGACAGTTGACTGTAAAATAATGCACTGTCATTAAAATTTTCACTGTCACTGTCACTGTCACTGTCACTGTAACTGTCATGGTCTGCACGGTCATGGTCTAGGTTATTGTCCTGGTCATGGGCTGAGCCCCTTCCCCGTGAAAAGGGAAAATTATGAGAAATTCTTGGATATTATTGTTATTATTAATATTATTTTCATTATCTGTTATTATTGTTATTTTTGTCATTGTTATCTCAAGAAAAGTGTGTTAGATTACAACTTTGTTAACATAACCTAGTTTTTTTAATATTTTTATTTTAAAAACACAATTGAAAATTTTTATATAACGAATATTTTTTTTAAGAAGCTAAAGGGAGTGACCGGCTATGTAAGGTAGTTGAACTGAGTATTCAGTGTTGTGGAAAACTTCTTTCGGATTCATTTGAGACATATTAAACTTGAGCGCAAATTCAACGTTCAAAACTCCTAAAATTGGGTAGATACTTTTTCAGAATTAGTTTTTTTTTTAATTATTAAATAACGACAACGAAAAAAAAAGTAAAAATTATTCAGAAATCTAAATAGATGGTTAGGAACATATTTCTCAAAAGAAATTTGTCAATAAATCAATGCTAAAATCGATTATTTCGTTTTCATTCTTAAATTGAATTTCTTATCTTCTTTGAATTTATTCGCAGAATTCTTCAAATTCTTCAAATGTCGTCTTTTCAATAATAATTCTAGAAAATCTACGAAAATCTTTGTGAATAAAGAGAAACCAGAATAATGAGAAAATCGAAACTTGAACAAGATTACTTATTTTCGATGATAAGATTAATTTTTATTTTCTCAACATGTTCCTATTCATGACGTCTGTAGTCTATTATAGAACTTTTTTTACATTTTATGTCGTCGTTATTTAATAATTTGAAAAAACTAATTCTGAAATGGTATCCACCCCCAAAGTAGGAGTTTTGAACGTCGAATTTACACTCAAACTCAGGATTTACAGATCTTTAAAAAGTTTAATATGTCTCAAATGAATCCGAAAGAAGTTTTCCAAAACACTGCATACTCAGTTCAACTACATTACATAGCAGGTAACTCCCATTAAAGCTAACCTTCTTTCTGTGTTAAACTCCCGCTTTAAAAATACCCCGTCACCGATGGTATTGATATCTTTTAAGGATCCTACTCTGCAAGCTCAGGCGGAAAATCCTCTAGTTCTCACAGAAAATCCTCCAGTAGTCCAGACACAAGAACCTCAAGTAAAACTAAACGGAAAGTGGAGGAAAATGATTCCTCCGATGAAGAATATGCTTTCGGTGATAATAAGAAACTCAGGTATATATAGCTTTCAAATTTAAAATTCGCAACCAGTCGAGTTTAATCCGAAATTGTTGTAATCTTTCAAAGATTTTTATTTTATTTCGTCATAAATGTTTTTTTTTTAACTCAGATGAAACCTAAGCAAATGGGATGATATACTAAGAATTACTAATAAACCTTTGTCCCCTAAACCTTGACATAAAAGAAGCGGTTCAATTTAGTCTGTAATTCAACTACTTCTAGGTCCTATAAGAAGGAACTGTCAAGACGGCAAGTTCTGCAAGAGAAAGATGACCCAGAGAAACAAAGACAAGGTAGTTCTATTTAATTTTATTTCATTCTGACTTAAGTTAGTAAATATAACTTTTCGTGTGAAAATTTAATTTAGTCTGTTCATGTACATAGTATCTAAATAAATGTTACCCTTATCACACAGTACGGCAGTACGAACTTCGGATTGTATATTGCATTTACAAAATACTGATATGGTAATAGAGTTGGGGTCTGGGCTCTCCAAGATAGGGGGTTTTCAGATCCTTCCCTTCCAGTAACTGCCGACCATAGGAGTGATGATAGGAATATAGGGATCAAAATAACTATCCATATAGTAGGACTAATTTCTGATTGCATTTATCTTACATACGTAAGGATAGTTATGATAAAATCTATTCAGTTTTTCAAATTGTGGGATTTAGTATTTATATAAGATTTTAAATTGGACAAAAGACCAATCTTTATTCAATTATTCCACTTTCAATGCTTAAAATAGACAGACAACATTTTGGAAATACCAACCATAGGAAAATATAGTGTTGTTTTCAGTATTTTTCTCTCATCAATAACAAAGTTTAGAAATTAGTGGTAAAATATTCCTGGACATGGCAGTACGAACCAGCCTACCTATACAGCGTGAAATTTATGTTTACTAGTTGGTGTTTATTTACAATTTAAAACTGGTTCCTGTTCTGTTCTATTACGTCATAGCTAAGCTTAAAAAACCTTCCGCCTCTCTCTTATCAATTATTTCATCTTCGTATTACTGGTCCTATGGGACACCCTGAACTAGTATTAGAAGTACTCAATTAACACATTCAAAGTTTACTAGGACACCATTTAACAGTAGTACTATATCCTCAATTTAAAAATAATAATTTTGCCGCCCTGAAATAGTCTTTCCAGTCATTCATTATTAGGTATATTTGGGCCACCTTTTGACATTATTTATGGTTTTTATGTCACTATATTTATTTGGACACCCACAGGGCCGTACTTGGAAATTTGTCTAGGGAGGGGGGCTCAGCACCCACGGGACCCTAAAATCCCCCTGGAAACCGTAGATTTTAGTGATGTCATAGCAACTCCCCCCCCCCCCATGAGTGCCTCTGGATCACTGTATATCTACAGTCTACACACAATTGACATAGATTATCTCAATTAGATGGAATTGATGATACTGATGTATCTTATGCTCTTGATGAAAGTGGACCCTGCTGCTCACAGGTATTACACACATACTGTCAATTAAAGGGGCTGTAAGCGTAATTTCAATTGACCCTCTACGCAAAGATCGCAATGCCAGATTTAAAACAATACCCTTTAAAACTTTGTCTGATCAAGCATGAATTAGATATCAATGTTTATTAAGTTGAAAGCTGATTATTTTTAATTGGGATTTTACTACAAAAGTGACATGCGCATTTCTACTGCAGAAAAACATATTCGTACTATCAGAATTCAAAACTTGTAAACCTTTAAAAACGACAACTTCTTCCATATTATTATTCAGATAAAGGTTTAGGTTATAAGGGTACCACTGTGAATCGGACATTGTCATCTTGGCACGGAGTGTCACTTCAAATTACGCTTACAGTCCGTCCCTTTAACCCATTTACATATTAAGCCTGTTTGTCTGCATTTTTTACCCAAATAACAGTTTTAGCAACTTAATCAATCAGGTCCAAACTTGGTTTGTGTGACGTCAATCTTCATACCAGCCAAGGCAAGATTTATGGACATCCGAATTTAAAATCCCCCCTCCCCAAACAAAAAAAATATTGTTATAACAATTAGAAATCCATGCAACGGAAAACTGAAAAAAAATTACCACTCCAAAAGTTTTTATACAAAAATGTATTTAAGGATGTACATCTAAGAGCTTCAGAGAACAAGAAAATACCCCAAAACACCTCTGAGACTATTTCTCCGGAAAAGTTGAAAAGAGAATTTAAGTTGTGTCGTGTATCTGAGACTACAGCAGGTCCTAAACAGTTATCTGATGAGCAAGCAGTAGAAGGGGAGAAGAGTAAAACTCGTGATTCTGAGTCCAAGAGTAGTAGAAAAGTGACCTACTATACTCCTGAAGAGCTGGAAAAAATGCCTGAAACTAGAAACGCTAGGAGGGATAGGGAACGCAGGGAAACCATGTACATGGCTAAGTTGAAGGAGAAAGAACGAATCCGTCAGAGAAAGCTGAAAAGATTGAGAAAAAAATCCTCTAAAAAATCTGATAATGAACCCCGGAACACTGCAGAAGCTTCTGGGACATCGCTAACTAATGAATTTGCTGCCTCCGCAAGTCCCAAGCAGCGTAAAAAGTTTGTGTTGACAAAAAATGTCTTCCCAAAATGATAATACGTTCGCCGACTATTCCTAATTTACGCAATATTTTTTTATGGATAGTTGTTTTAACCTACTACGCAATTAAATAACTTTGTTTGCAGATTTAAAAACTATTTGCGATTAATGTTTGACAGGGTTATACACTAGCACAATGAGACTTTAATGACGACTTTTCACTTTTAAAACATAACATTCTAATTCAATTTTTTCATGTTACAGGCGTCATAAATAGTTGCATACTTAATGAATAACTCTGTATAACTTGATTCGTAGAATTGATCAAAATATCGTCTAGTTTTTCAGAATTAATTAATGGCAGCAATATAAAATAAGTATAATGTTAACTATTACAGTTTATAAGTAAAATTTTAAATATTGATATAAAATCTACAGAAACCCTCCCCCCCCTCCCTTACTGGGCAGGGAGTCAGCTGCCATACCAGTTCTTGTTCTATTGCGGTATTCAACCCCAACACGATTAGACGCATTTTAATCTTTTCAAAACTTTAACGTGTGCATTTATTATGATTTACTTCGCAATTCATTCAGTTTTTTCATCCAGACTAAACCGTTAATATGAAATCACTTATATATGTTTTATTTAGTTATTAATCGAGTTTGAAAATATTTATGAATTTATATTTTCAGATTTTATTTCTCCGAAACCGACACAAAAATGGTTCACCAGGTGGAAAACTCTGAGGATTTTGCCAACCAGCTTCAACAAGCTGAAGATAAACTAGTTGTCGTGGACTTCTTCGCCACATGGTGAGTTGTATCTTTAACTTATCCTTGTGTGAAAGTTTCAAAATTAAAAAATAATTTGGCGGATTTTGTCATGTGTAAAGCTAATAAAAATGAACAGAGCTGAAAACTTTCGAATGAGATCCTTTATCCCGATCGGTTAAATAATCTGGATATGCAGATGATTGTAAATTTCTAAAAAAAAATGCAGATGCAGTATTTTAAAATGCTGCACGTATCAGGCGCGTACAAGGGGGGGGGGCGACAGCTCTGTGAGGCTCAGAACCCAAGGCCCCCCCTTAGCCTTCGCCAGGGGCGTATGGGATTAAAATCTATGCCAGAGGTTAGATGTTGGACCCACATTTCAGGAAAGTTTTATTAGAACTAAAAAAGTGTAGAGGGTTGGAAACATGGGAAGCAGGGTGTCGTGCTCTAAAAGTTCACCGCCCTAGGCTAAACCTCCAGTACGCCCCTGATAGCGAGAAGTGGTTATACCCTGGAGACATAGTGGAACTTTGTAGTTGTACCTTGGATACATAGTTGAACTTTGTAGTTGTACCTTGAGACAGAGTTGAACTTTGTAGTTGTACCTTGAGACATAGTTGAACTTTGTAGTTGTACCTTGGAGACATGGTTGAACTTTGTAGTTGTAACTTGGAGACATAGTGGAACTTTGTAGTTGTACTTTGGAGACATAGTTGAATTTTGTAGTTGTACCTTGGAGACATGGTTGAACTTTGTAGTTGTACCTTGGAGACATAGTTGAACTTTGTAGTTGTACCTTGGAGACATAGTGGAATTTTGTAGTTGTACCTTGGAGACATAGTTGAACTTTGTAGTTGTACCTTGGAGACACAGTGGAACTTTGTAGTTGTACCTTGGAGACATAATTGAATTTTGTAGTTGTACTTTGGAGACATAGTTGAACTTTGTAATTGTACCTTGGAGACAAAGTTGAACTTTGTGGTTGTACCTTGGAGACATAGTGGAACTTTGTAGTGTACTTAGGAGACATAGTTAAACCTTTTTAGTTGTACCATGGATACATAGTTAAACTTTTTAGTTGTACCTTGGAAACATAGTTAAACTTTGTAGTTGTACCATGGATACATAATTTAACTTTGTACTTTGGAGACAGAGTTGAACTTTGTAGTTGTACTTTGGAGACATAGTGGATCTTTGTAGTTGTACTTTGGAGACATAGTTGAACTTTGTAGTTGTACCTTGGAGACATAGTTGAACTTTGTAGTTGTACCTTGGAGACATAGTTGAATTTTGTAGTTGTACCTTGGAGACATAGTTAAATTTCCTCTCTTTTGCGCTGGTTTAAGCGGAAGAAAAGGGGTTTAACCAAGTCTTTAACAGTTGATTTCATTTCATTTCATTTGACGAGACCATATTGCAGGTGTGGTCCTTGTAAGATGATTTCACCACATATTGAGGAAATGTCTAAAATAATGGAGGACGTCGTCTTCTTGAAGGTAGTTTAAACTTATTTTCTTAGTTTCGAGATAAATGTTATTATGGCAAAAGTTTAACTTCTGAACACGACAAATTTATGTTTATAAGTTTTTTGGTCAGGTTTAGATTTAAACTAAACTATCTCTTGGATTATTTAGTAAAAAATCCAATATTCTTCAAAGTGACACCAAATCTTTATTGATAAGAAAAATAAGCCCCTCTGAATGAATTTAGTTTGTTTTTGTCTCTTTTCCTTGTTCTGAGATAGTATGCTATATAAATGTTTTAAAATTCCTTGCTTTTTAAGCTGTGTTTTAAAGGATATGTTTGTTAGTCAGGTTCAATTAAAAATTATTATCACTTTTGTTTAATGTTTATCTATTTAAACTTATATTTGCTCAGATCAAACATGACTTGTAGAATGTTTAAAGTTCAATTGATTCAATTCAAATGCGTTGTCACATGTCTTTAATGTGCTAATTTAAAAGTTTTTAAGACACTGGACAAGTGGGAATTGTTTGTTTGTTAGAAAGAGAGTATTGTGATGATCTTTTAAAATGTAAATATCTTGGTACTAATTTTATTTCTATCCGATGTTTCGATCTACGTTGTCTGCGTGCGAACTTATCCCTTTTTTATAAATGCTCGTGAAAGAGGTTTTTGATCAAAACACGGTAAAAGCGTTTTTGCAGCAGCTCCCTGAATCCGCAAAACGAATCTATGGATCCGGATTCAAGCGGATAAATCTTCCCAATCTCATAATTTAGTATTTCATGTGCCAGCATGAAAATAGATAAATTATTTAACTGGATTCGTTCTTACATTTTTCTTAAGTTAAACAAATCAGTGAAAATTGCATGCACTGGATCCGGGTATAAGGGATCTAGATTATATGGACTTTAACACGGTAAAAAAAAACCTTTGAACCAAATTAATGTATTCCACCTTTAAGGTTGACGTGGATGAGTGTGAGGAGATTGCTCAGGAATACAAGGTACATAAAGTCTTTTTACATCAAGTGTGTATACACTATCTTTTTTATCCCCCCGCCCTCCCCCTCTCGAAATAACATCGTTAAAGACATCGATTTATTAGATTTTATATTTTAGTGCATAATAATCCCCAATATGATTAAACATGTAAAGCATGGTTATTGGTTAGCTCCGCAGGGTGAACATTTCTTACTTAATTCGATTTTAAAGGGACTGCACGCTTATTTTTAAGCAGTGCTTAGGATTCATTTAAGTTTGATGCGGATCCGGATCCTGGATCCGCACTGGGAAAAAAGGGATCCGATACCGAATTTATTGAATTTTTTTAACATAGCAGAATTTTCAAATTTGTCGTCTTTTTTTTCGCTCATTTTTATTCGTTATCTTAATGAACCATTCAGAAATCAGGAAATTTTATAATTTCTCTTTCAGATTTGGGTTCAATATTTCATATTTTTGCGGATCCGGATCCAGGAACCAAAATCTTGCGGATACAACGGATCCGGATCAGAATCCTAATCACTGTTTTCAAGTTACCATTCATGCAAAGATAGCAATGCCCGATTCACAACTCTATCCTTAAAGCTTTGCAAAACAATATATTGGAATCTTGAAAAAATAATACGGAAGATATTATTGTGCAAATAAATGTTTCAAGGACACTGTTGTCAATCGGGTATTGCCATCTTTGCATGAATGATCACTTGAAAATAAGCGTACCGTCCTTTTAAGTATCGTGGCTGATAAGTTGATTAATACCATTCTTGAATTTTTTTATTGTTGAAAACGTAACAATAACTAAATCTTCTTTTCATTTAGATTACCGCTATGCCGACCTTTATTTTTATCAAATCAAAGGAAAAGGTAAGATTTTAATCATCAAGCTTAGATTATTAAATAATTTCATTAATTTATGATTTTCGTATTTGTATAAATATCACACTGATAAGACATAAGATAGAAATTTTTGTGTGTTTAAATTATAATCATAATTGAAATATGAAAAATTCGTGAAAATGTTGCAATGGAAGGAAATAAAACTAATATAGAATAAGTTTCTGTTTTCTCCATAAATTTGTGTGAACACTCCCTTCAAAAAAGTATTGATCCAGGTTGGAGAACTGACCGGAGCTAACGTGGATAAATTGAAGGAGATGGTGGCATCCAACAAATAGGAAATACTAATAAATTCATTCAATTTGTTTACCTAGTTTTTAAATTTATTTGTATCTAATCTTTTGTGTCGTGTCGTGTCGTGTCGTGTCGTGTCGTGTCGTGTCGTGTCGTGTCGTGTCGTGTCGTGTCGTGTCGTGTCGCGTCGCGTCATTTTCATTTCTTATCTTATACAATATGACTTTAAAACCACATGATTATGATATTAGTATTGTCTCTAGATTCTAGATCCAGCATGAATTCTTCATCTACTAATCCTCACTCCGTTCTCATTGAGAAGAAAAAATCCCGTTTGATATATATCACAATCTGTTATAGTATGTTACAAAACAATGCAGTGATGAATTTGTTCCTTTTAATTCCAATAAAATTCTTTGTGAAGCTGGTAAAGAACTCGCTATTGGTGGGTTAGCCATGATAAATGTCCAGCTCACTAATAGCTCAGTTGCTTAGCCCATATCTAAGGCATTAATTTAGTGTATGTTCATCATTTTAATTATTTCAGATTTGATAGCCAAGTAATATGACTGATGCTGGATTTTTTCGGGTAACTATTTGAAAATATTTTATGTCGGAAAGTTGGAAATTTGGATTTTTTTTTCATACGATTGTAATGCATAGAAATCTAGCTTATCTCTCATATTGTGTGAAATGCTCGAGACTGAGTGATTATCTTGTCAGCTAATCATTGTAGATAATTATCAAGGCTAATGACTCCTCGACCTCAAAGTCTATATTTAAATCCATTTATCTTTGTAATCTGATTGGGAAAATCTTTACAGTGGATATTTGGATAAAGCAGTTGATATTAAAGGTTATCCATTCTATAGTTCCCAGCTCAGGTTTAGGAGAGAAGCTGTTTGTACCAATTCTCAAGCTTGGAAGGGAGTATTTCTCGAATTTTAGTTTTGAGAAAAGTGAAGATTTTCATGCTTGGGCTTTTCTTGATCTTTACAGGCATTTATTTACATTCTTTACTTTCTCTATATTAGAAATAAGTATTGCATCGCTATTCGTGGTTCTAAAATTTTTAGTACTACATTTATTTAAAGTTTAACTCAAATTTTACATCTCATATACCTCCAGTTTCTTTTTGTTTTGATGCAAATAGCTTCTTAAGAGCGCTTAAGGGAAAGAAAACAGGCAAAATATCTATCTCAATAAACTATTATGAGTGATAAGTTAAAAATCTAGGTTTTTAGTCTTCATTTATTAATTTTGACCCTATTTAAGTTTTTTTTAACTAAAACGAATTTTTCTCCTGCGGCGCGCCCCCTACTTAACTTTCTCTCCTCTGAACACGACAAATTTATNAGTGCATATACAAATACATTATACAATATACACTACAGTGTATAATTATACAGGTGTATTTTCAAGAAAATGTGCAGTGCATATACAAATACATTATACAATATACACTACAGTGTATAATTATACAGGTGTATTTTCAAGAAAATGTGCAGTGCATATACAAATACATTATACAATATACACTACAGTGTATAATTATACAGGTGTATTTTCAAGAAAATGTGCAGTGCATATACAAATACATTATACAATATACACTACAGTGTATAATTATACAGGTGTATTTTCAAGAAAATGTGCAGTGCATATACAAATACATTATACAATATACACTACAGTGTATAATTATACAGGTGTATTTTCAAGAAAATGTGCAGTGCATATACAAATACATTATACAATATACACTACAGTGTATAATTATACAGGTGTATTTTCAAGAAAATGTGCAGTGCATATACAAATACATTATACAATATACACTACAGTGTATAATTATACAGGTGTATTTTCAAGAAAATGTGCAGTGCATATACAAATACATTATACAATATACACTACAGTGTATAATTATACAGGTGTATTTTCAAGAAAATGTGCAGTGCATATACAAATACATTATACAATATACACTACAGTGTATAATTATACAGGTGTATTTTCAAGAAAATGTGCAGTGCATATACAAATACATTATACAATATACACTACAGTGAATAATTATACACATACAGGTTTATTTTATACACTCAACTTCAAATTCTAAAATGATTTTCAAAAATCATTTTTCTAAAGCTGAAATTAGGTAAGTAACAAATTTTAAGTTAGATACAAATATATACTTTTTTATTTTAATAATTTTTATAGTCTGTAAATATTCATTTTTAATGCATTATCCATATTAAAAATATGTAAGTCATCTCATGAGATTAGTTTAAAAGGATTTTATTTTTATTTTGTGATGATATTTTGCTCCGGATCTGCTAAAATTATCAGATCCTGTGGATCGGTAATGTTACATCGTCCGTACGCAATATTCCCCTACTGAACTTCTGACCTACTAACTATCCGACGAACTGCAATATCGAACCTACGCCAGCTGTTTATTTTGTATTATTTAATGGTTAGGTTAGGTTTAAACAATTTCTGGGCCGAATGCTGCTGCTAAAACAAGCTTTGGGGCCGCGCGCCGTGGTAGAACAGGCTAGTGGGCCGAGCGCCGCTGCTAGGACAGGCTAGGGGCCGGGCGCGGCGGCCATAAGTCTAACTAGCACTAGCAGCTGTGCTTGTAGGTGTAGTGTAGTGTAGTATGGCGGATTTGGCGTAGGTCTGAAGTGGAGTTTAGCGGATTTGCGTAGGGCTAAAGATACATCATTAGTGGATCTTAAGCAATGTTTAAGTATATTTAATAATTAATTATTAAAATTATTAAATTTTCCCTGTTCAGATTGACATGGGTAAGATCAAGCTTGATGTGTTGAAACCCTGGATCACGAAGAGGTGTGCAGAGCTCTTGAAGATGGACGATGATGTTGTTGTTGAGTTTATATTTAACCAGCTTGAAGAGAAGGTAAAGATTTAGTCTAAATACTGAATACTAGCTCTACCCCCAATCCATAGTTAATGTTTGGATAGTACACTATTTCAGGACTAACAGTTTTAGGTTTGGAGAAAGAGATGATGGAAGCATCTTATATTTATTAGGTTCTCTGGCAAACTTCAAACAAAGGTTACCCTGTGCAAATTCATCACTGTATAGTCGATAATAGATTATTTTAACAATGTGTGAAGTAAGAAATAAAAATGTTAATATTATGACTTGTAGTGTACAAGTGTACACGAGAGAATGATTGAACTGATGTGAATCTCTGATTAGTCTCATGTAATGTGTTGATGATGAGGAGAGACCTGGAGGATTCACAGTTTCAGCTCTTCACATTCATGGTACATAAATACCAGTTTATTTATTTTTATCCATTCATAGTACATAAATACCAGTTTATTTATTTTATCCATTCATGGTAGATAAATACCAGTTTATTTACTTTTATCCATTCATGGTACATAAATACCAGTTTATTTATTTTAATCCATTCATGGTACATAACTACCAGTTCATTTATTTTTATCCATTCATGGTACATAAATACCAGTTTATTTATTTTTATCCATTCATGGTACACAACTACCAGTTAATTTATTTTTATCCCTTCATGGTAAATAAATACCAGTTTATTTATTTTTATCCATGCATGGTACATAAATACCAGTTTATTTATTTTTATCCATTCATGGTACATGAATACCAGTTTTGTTAATTTTATATATTCATGGTACATAAATACCAGTTTATTTATTTTTATCCATTCATAGTACATAAATACCAGTTTATTTATTTTTATCCATTCATGGTACATAAATACCAGTTTATTTATTTTTATCCATTCATGGGGCATAAATTCCAGTTTATTTTTATCCATTCATGGTACATTAATACCAGTTTATTAATTTTATATATTCATGGTACATAAATACCAGTTTTATTAATATTTATCCATTCATGGTACATAAATACCAGTTTGATTAATATTTATCCATTCATGGTACATAGATACCAGTTTTATCATTTTTGTATATTCATGGTACATAAATACCAGTTTTTATTTATTTTTATTCGTTCATGTGGTATATCATACCAGTTATATTAATTTTTTTACATTCATGGTACAAAAATACCAGTTTTATTAATTTTTATCCATTCATGGTACATAAATACCAGATTTTTATTTATTTTATTTATTCAAGTAATACATAAATACCCGTTTTATTCATTTTTATTTTCATGGTGCATAAAAACCAGTTTTATTCATTTTATACAGTCATGGTAAATAAATGCCAACTTTATGCATTTTATATGTTCATGGTACATAAAAACCAGTTTTCATTCTTTGTATTATTCAGGGTACATAAATACTAGTTATTTACTTTTTTATTCATGAGACATAAGGATGAATTTTCGTGCATTTTACATATTCATGGCTTTTAAATACTAGTTTTTATAGATTCATTGGTAATGTTCAATGGTCATGTTAAATTAAATACATTCATGGTACATAAATACCTTTTTTATACATGCCCTCAAGTTTTTTTTCTCTTGTTAGGCTGAGGTTGAAATAAGAAACTTACCAGTTTGGACCCCCATTTTTTCTTTCTTGTTCTTTAATAAACGTCCCCCCCTCCATTTAAAAAAATGTTTGTAACAGGATTAGGCTTTAAACCGAATGAACTATTTTTTTTTATGTATCAATGATGATCAGTTTCTAGAAAATGTATTAAATCTCTGTCTTCGCAAACATTTTCATTATTATTCAATTATTTTATGAATTTAAATTACGATGTCTTAATTGAAAGTAGGTGTCTGTCCTTTCCGCCTAGAGAACAAAGTTGACTATGATGTATTCTTGGAGATCTACCCTCCTAGTTCTTCTCCAACCTACTCCTCCTTCTCCTACACCGTGGACCTAATGGGAGCTAGTCTCTTCCCCCTTCCGCCCTACACTCGGGAATTTCCTACGCCCTGACCTTCTTCACTCCGCTCTTCACTCTAAACTGTTCTCTCTCTTTACATAGAAAAATACATTTATTTAAATCGTCATGTCATGAGGTGAGTTTTGTCTTATTTCATCAGAATTTTGAAAATATATGTTGAAGCAACCATCAGATTATTACATAATCCCTCCGCGTACGATCTTTTGTGTTTTGTCCTTTTCCATAATTGACAATGTTATTCAATCTTTTATGTCATTTTTAGTCAAGCATTAGCAAGCATAAAATAAGTTTTGATGCCTTAATGAAAAAAAAATTTAATTGATTCCATTTTTAATACCTTTTATCTAAAAATGAATTTATTTTCCTGAAATAAAACATTTTTTTTATCCGCTGTGCGCAAATAGTTGATAGTTGAAGGGAAAATAATTTCCAAAGAAGGGTTGGGGGAAAATGTTTTTTCAAGAAAACGTACACCTCTGAGATATAGAAACGCCTCGACCTCCTATGTCTAATACTTCTTCAATAAATGCAATTAATATATGATGACTAAACTTATAATTGATAGAACATTAAATATATAAAGGTATGAAACCCAAATTGACCGTTTTGTTTCTAGGTGAGATAGTGTTCTCAGTTCATCTACATCCTGTACTCAGCACTGCAGTACACAGTACAATTCATATAGATCAGTCCAGAATTTTGTACTAAATGGACTGCTTTATAATACAAGTTGGCATAATAAATTAACGGATTTTTGTATACAAATATTTAATTGTTATTTATATAACGTACATCGATCAAACCCCCAAAGAACTGTTAAAACTAGTTCTATACTCCTTTTGTTTAAACCTGGATTAATGTATATTTTAGAAAGGGGGTGATTTTTTGCTAGAATTTATTTTCTATGTGGATATGAATGATGGGAATGGTTAATAAAAGAAGTTTTCAACTAACAGAAAAATTAAGATAGGAATTTAAAAAAAAAACTTTCTTAACTTTTATCGAGGAGGGGTTGGGGGTGGGGGGTGGGATATAGGAGTTCTGGACAAACAGATCCATATCCCCAAAAAAGCACTGTTTTTTTTATAATTAAGGAAAACTCAATAGACGAAATTTTCTATATTTATTAAAATAAAAGGTGTGAGTTAAGAACGATTAACTAGTTTCTGTTTGGGCTTGATCTGGTCGCATTAGGCTAATCCCGATTTTTTTATTGTGTAGAACCCGGATCCCAGGAAGATGCAGATAAACCTGACTGGATTCTTGAACGGGAAGAACTCGAGGATCTTTATGTCGGAGCTGTGGTCTCTGCTCTACTCTGCTCAGACCAGTGAGAGCGGTATTCCCCAAGAGCTGGTCAATCTGAAGGTCAGGAATCTATTTTTTTGCTATGAAGCCAACTGTATTTTACTTTAAAGAACAAGGAAATTTTAGTCTGAAAGGGACTGAATTGTAGTCTAAAAAGGACTGGATTGTAGTCTGAAAGGGACTGGATTGTATTCTAGAAAGGACTGAATTGAGTCTGAAAGTAACTGCATTGTAGTCTGAAAGTGACAGCATTGTAGTCTGAAAGTGACTGCATTGTAGTCTGAAAGGGACTGGATTGTAGTCTGAAAGGGACTGCATTGTAGTCTGAAAGGGACTGCATTGTAGTCTGAAAGGGACGAATTGTGTCTGAAAGGGACTGAATTATAGTTTGAAAGGGACTGCATTGTAGTCTGAAAGGGTCTGTATTGTAGTCTGAAAGGGACTGTAAATGTGAATGTATGTGACCCTCCATTAAAAGACTAGTTTCTCAGATTCAAAACGTCGCCCGTTAACTTATAATTAGAAAACCATGAATTTCATTTTAAAAACTGTTAATTTTCATTTGTGGTTTCTCTTCAAACGTGACTTGTGCATTTCTTTTAAAAAAAAATTCAAAAATAACCACTTTTCTAAAGCCAAAAATCGACATTATTAATCAGATTAAGGGTTCAAGGGTTCCGTTCGTGCATGGCCCTTTTTAAATGGAGTGTCCCATAAAATGTTGAATTCAAGCTTAAAGTCTGGACACATTTTTTACTTCATGTAATAACCATGATAATTGATAATGTCGACGAATAGGATGATTATGGCGATACTAATGGTGATAATGAAAATAATAAAAATAATCTAATATTTTTGAAATCCAGAATCATAAGTATCATTATACCAAACAATTTAACTATTGGTAACAAAAAACTGTTAGAGCTTTTTGATGTAAATCTGTATTTTGATCAGGTTGATGAAATCAAGTCGAGAAAGGACGAAGAATCCAGGCTTGCAAGCAGACTTAGACAGGTAATTATTGGATCAGTTTATATTTAAACGCTAAAACAATATGGACATCTTTACATACATATAATTGGCTGAAGTGTTGTTTGGTTCTTTCTCGAATTATTTTTTTAATTCCTTGTGTTTTCGCGAACAAATACGGGGAAAGTTTCTTATAGTTACTATTTTTAAATATACGAAAGGTATGCAGATATATTAGGAACATAAAGCTAAGATAATTTAGCCGAAAATCATTTGACTCATGAAAGTAATTGTTTTTAATTAATTTAAGTCATGTTTTCTTTATGCCCCCGGAAGGACGGTGGGAGAGGGGGAATTAGGACTTGAACTTGCAATTTTTTCTCAAATCCCCTTCCATCTGGTTTTTTTTTCTCATAAGGGATAATAGAACGACAAAAGCTACTTTTGGGGGGAAGGTGGAAACATTTTTGGAGGCTAGAACATGATTTTTAGAGTCGAGAAAATACTTCAACTTATGTTCGAATACTGTCTAGGTTGCTGATAGTGTTGGTGAGCAAGCAGAGCGAGCTAAGCAGGCCGGATATAGAGCTAATAATGATCTCAAAGGTCGGAGTAGGAGTAGGAGCAGAGATAGGAAACCAAGGAGGAGAAGTGGATCCAGGTAGTAAACAAGATTTACAATGTTCTACTTGTTTAAAAGTTACATGCCCAATTCTTAACTGTGCGCTTACTTACTTGGAATACTTGAGTTATCTCCAGGACTCCAGGTAGTATTATAGCGGGAACATCTCGGAGTAGTGATCCTGTCCTCTTGATTTACGTCCTCCTTGTGTATTCGCGTGCTCACTAGTCCTGGCATAGAAATTCAAGGTTTTAAAGATAGGCGTCAAGTACAGATTTAAAGATATTTTTAAGATTGGTAGGAAAATTGTTCCATATTTTCCATGGAAAATGCATTACAGTGGAAATTGACTTAAATTGAGATACCATCCACGAATCATCTGTTTTAGCAAAAAACAGGTTTAATAGGTACTGTTGTGAATCTAGCATATTACTCTTGAAATACCGAGATATACCAGAGATAACGCCCGTTGTCTACTTTATCCAAACTTTAATGTAATTTCTGCATTTGTTAATATTAAGTTAAAGCGAGTAAATTATCGTCCATTTCCTTGCATATCTCAAAGTTATTCGGTTTCTAACTTTTCCAATATCCTAACGTCATTTTTCTTCTTCTTAGTTTTTTTTTATTTTTTGCGATATATCTATTTCTGTTGTTTCTTGTCTCTGTTTGAATTTTTTATTGATGTTAATATTATCCACCTTGTCAACCAGTGCTTCGGATCAATTTAATTTTGATGCGGATCCGGATCCTGGATCCGCACTAGAAAAAATGGACCCGGATCCAGGTCATTTCTTTAAGATTTACTGAATTTTTTTCACAACAAATAATTTTTAAACTTTTTGTTTTATTTTTTTCGCTTATTTTTATTCTAAAACTTGATGAACCATTCAGAAATGAGGAAATTTTAATAATCTCTCTTTTTTTTCAAGTTCAGATTTGGGTCTTAGGAGTAAAAAAGATTTTTTTGCAGTTTGAGGTTTAAATGTTACCTCTTGGATCCGGATCCGGATCCAAGAAGCAAAAATCTTGAGGATCCAACGGATCCGGATCCTAAGCACTGTTTTCAACTTCAGTTTGAAAAGGGAAAGAAAAATTCCTAAAATATCTTTTGTACTGAACACGTTTTTTTTAGAGAAAGAAGGCGTAGAAGTAGAAGCAGAAGTAGGGGAGCCAGAGAGGTTGTTAAATCTGAGAAAGATGCTGCCAAACCAGAAAATGGAACTAAAGTTGATGATGACAAAAACGAAGAATCAGAAGATGGCGTCGCTGATACCAACGGTAAAGAGAAGGAAAGTAAAGAAGATAAAGAAGAGGATGAAGAAGAGGATCGAGATAATGTTGAAATCAGGAAAAAAGAGGATGGAGTTCTGAGCAAACGTAATTATAGATCTCACAAGGAGAGTGGCGGAGAAAGTGATCATGAAACGGAGAAAAGAAAGAGATCGTCGTCGAGAACACGAGGTAAATCTCCTATTAAACGAAGATCTGTTTCTCCCAAACGTAAATCAGTTTCACCCAGACGCCGATCACCGTCTCCTAGGGATAGACGACGATCACGATCTCGTGACAGATCGTCAAGAAGAGTCGGAGAACGCTCAAGACGATCTCCATCAAGAGAGAGAAGACGATCTCGCTCACGCGATGATGACCGGAGACGGGAGGCGGAGGATCGCCGGAGAAGAGAGGAAGAGCGAAGAAGGCGAGATAGGATAGAAATGGAGCGTGAGCGGGAGCGAGAAAGAGAGCGTGAAAGGGAACGTGAAAGGGAAAAGAAGAGGGAAAGAGAAAGAGAAGAAGAGAGAAGAAATCGTAACCGTGAAGGAAGAGATGGAAGAGACAGGGATACTAGAGACACTAGAGACAGATATGATCGTGAAAGAAATCGTGTTGACACAGACGAGGAGGAAATGGCGACTAAACTTCGTGAGAAAGAAGAAGCGCTGAAGAGACGGAACAAGGAAGAGCGGAAACACAAGTCTGATAGCAATACTAGAAGAAGGTTCAGAGAAGATTCCGATGAAGAAAATCCACGGAAGATTAAGAAGAGACGGGAAGGCAGCGATGAGGAAGATGACAGATCCAGCAGAAGAACTAAAGAAGAAAAACGAGTAGTTCGAAAGAAATCTTCTTCTATTGACGAAAGAAGAAAGGTTAAAAGAGAATCTTCTGACGATGAGAGACCAGCCAGGAAATCCAAGAAGAAAGAAAGAACTCCGGTACAGAAGAAGAAGAAGAAAGATGAGACTGAGAGTAGTTCTGAGGAAGAATCCGAGTCGGAAGAAGAAGTAAAGAAGAAATCAAAGAAGGACAAAAAGCATAAGAAACACAAGAAAGCCAAGAAATCCAAGGTAATTTGGCAGACAAGGAAAAATTATGGACTATGAAAAAGTTGTCATCTCAATATTTGTTTAACATTATTGCTTAAGTTTAACTTTTTTTCTTTCTTTTTTTATTTCACTCGTAATTTTTTTAATCTGTTTTAGAAGATAAAGAAAGAGAGTAGTTCCAGCGAGGAAGAAGAAGACTCCGACTCCGAAGAAGAAGAGGAGGAGGAAGAGGAAGAAGTTGATGAGAAAAAAATGGAATTATTAAGGTCAGTTAAAATTTGGTTTTCCAAGGTGTTACTGTAAGGCATGTTTGGGTGGAGTGAAATTTTTTTTAGGGTTTTATTCTTTGAATACGGGAAAAACAAATATCTTTTAAAGTCATTCTTAATACACTCCTGATAACATCTGCTTCATTATTTCTTCCCATTTGGAAATACCAATAGTAGTTTTTGTAGAAAGAAATCTTTGTTAAATATCTTGTACGTTTTTATTTCTCAAGAGTTAAATTTTTTTAACAATTACATTTCTAGAAACTTTATTCAATGTTTTGGAACTTTTTAACTCAATCATCGGGACTTTTCAATTCTTTTAAACGCTGTAAGGGTTTTTTTCGATTATTTTATGGGTACTTCTCTCAATTATTCAATCATAACGACGGAAAACAAATTTTTTGTTGATTATTCGGTTATAAATTTTTCTGTTTTAGTTTGAATAACTCTTTTTAAAGATGTATAAGCTATCCATAAACTAAATTAAGTTTTACGAAATTCAAAATATTTAAGGTTGATTAAGCAATAATTTTTTAAGTTAAGAATTTGTCTCTCAATTGAGTTTAACTTGTTTCAGAAAACAGGCATTAAAAACCATGCAGAAGGTGAAAAAAGAAGAAAAAAAAGATTCTGATTCTGAAAGCGAAGATGAAGAAGAAGAAGAAGAAGAAGACAGCGATTCCAGCGAAGAAAGTGACTAGTTTCTTGCTTAATTTGTGTTTCAACAGTTAAACTCTTGGCGTTTAATAATAAATGTAGCATTTTGAATACATGTGATTTAAGATAAAGTTCCAACAGAAAATTGCTTTTTATAACAATCTTCCTTTCTGATCAGTTTTAGTTGTTACGTATGATATTTATTATTTTCATTTTAAACCACAATCTTGAATTTGAATCGAGAATCAAATTCAATATCAATGATCTTGTCAAATTCTCCAAAGTCGTGGACAAAAGCTTGGCTTTAAGATTATGATATCCAGGGCTACCAAAAAAACGGTGTAAAACTTATGGTTTATTGTAATTTAGTTCCGAAATACAAGTGTCACCCATTATGAATAAGACTGTAAAGACGACCTGATTTTTTTAAAAATTTGATTAAGTCTGCTTATACATTTTTTAGTGATAAAGCAAAGGTTAAAACTTACAGTTCCAGGTTGATCAGAAATTTAAGTATAAAGTCGTCTCAGAAGCCTTGCCCTTTGTGAACTCTGAGTACGTCTAGAAATATTGATGAAATTAAATCAAATTTTAGGCTTCGGTTTCTACATCATATTGGCTTAATGCTAGTACTCTTCCTGCAGCGCGAATACTCAGGCAATTTTATGATAAAAAGGAATAATGTGCATAAACAATTCCTCCCCTTCTGATCCTTAACGCCAGTGGTTCGGAGCTCAAATTAAAATTAGATGGTAATGTTACACCGTCTATACGCAGCTCACCCCTCCTGAAATTCCGACCTACTGCAATACCGGAATATGCCAGCTTTTTAATTTTGTATTATTTGAGGGTTAGGTTAGGTTAATACAATTTCTGGGCCGAGCGCCGTGGCTAGAACAGCTGCTGGGTGGCCGGGCACTGCGGCCACAACTCCATGAATCAGCTGTTTAAAACGACGTGCTAGTAGGTCGGATGTGTAGTGTAGGTCAGACGTGGAGTAAAGTGGATTTGCGTAGGCCGAAAAATAACCCATCAATTTAAAATTAAATCTACAAAAATCTGTACACCCCCCAAAGTCTGTTATCTAACCTAGCGGCCAAATTGTGAACTAATCAGTAATGGGAGTGTATATCTACCTGACTGTTATGTAGAGAGAGAACACGTATAACCGCCCCTAGTGTACACAGTTAGAAGTAAGTATCTTAAATACGGTTTTCTTTGAGTAACCTTCTCATTTTCAGCCATTTATGTGTTTGATATTTTTAAAAATGTTAAATATTTCTGTATTTTGTGTTTTTGAGGATAACTGCAAATAACATGTTTAACGTGTTTGTTAGATGGGTGTAAAAATAGAAAATTTTCAGTCTTAGCTTTTACTTTCAATTAGACATTACCTAAAGTAGGGGGTAGATATCCGTGAACAGTTTTTGTCCAAATATCTAAGAAAATGTACAGAATTAAAATATAGTTTAAAGAATAGTTGCTATATAACAGATTACTGCACCCATTTAGGTTTAAATGATTATATATTTGGCGTTTAGAAATAAAAGTAAACATGTACTGGTTACTACACCTAGAGAACGTTTTTTGGTCCCACGCNGTCTTTATACTAGAGCTGGTAGTCCTGCAGATACATGTCAGGTAGTCTTTGTACTAGAGCTGGTAGTCCTGCAGATACATGTCAGGTAGTCTTTATACTAGAGCTGGTAGTCCTGCAGATACATGTCAGGTAGTCTCTTATACTAGAGCGTGATTTCGTTTGTTATAATAAGTTGTTTCTCGGATATAATTAATAATTTTGGTTAAAAGCTCGTTTAAATATCTATCTCAAGCCAAAGATTCCAGGGGACGTGATTTAGTGAATAGGTGAGAAGTAGTTGAACTGCGGAGATGAAGTTGAACCAATTTGTGCACTGGTTTAAGCTAAACAGAAATGGTTTAACTACGTAAATGCGGTTCAACTATTAACCGATATTCATTTAACTTGTGACTGTGTCAGAAAGATATATTTTCAACAATTTTTGGTTCGGACAAACCAAAGATCGTTTTTTTCTATTTTTTTCTCCTAAAAAGGATTTGGTATAATTTGAATATTGTGGTTTAGCAGATGAATGGTGACAGTAGGACACTCTCCGCCCCTGATATTGCGAGAAATACTCTCACTAAATCCTCCCAGGGGACCTTGTCAGGGGCGGCTAGACGCAGGATGGCAGATCGCCTCTTCACTAGGTAACAAGTTATTGCGTACACCCCTATTATGTATCGAGTGTTTACTCCTTTTTAAACAGTTAATGATATATTGGTTTTTTAAAAGGCTCCTTCAAAATATTCTTATTAAATTTTGTATAATTTAATAATTTATCTTTAAGCATGGTCGGACGAAATCATCATCTGTCTGATTTTTTTTTTATTTATTTATCAACTTATACTTTGACATGTGTCAATCATTTTTTTATTGGAAATTTTGATCTAGAATATTAAAAGGGTAACCATGAGATTAACAAGGAAAATAAGGATAAAGTAAGACAGAAAAGGTTATAGTAGAACTTAACAAGAAAAAAGAATGAGAGAGGAAAAATAGAAATGGGAGAATGAGAGAATTAAGATGGAAAGGGAGAATGAGGGAGGAAAGATGGAAAGGCAGAATGATAGAGGAAAGATGGAAATGGAAGAATGAGAAAGGAAAGATGGAAAGGTAGAATGAGAGAATTAAGATGGAAAGGGAGAATGAGAGAGGAAAGAGGGAATGGCAGAATGAGAGAGGAAAGATGGAATGGCAGAATGAGAGAGGAAAGATGGAAAGGGAGAATGAGAGAGGAAAGATGGAATGGCAGAATGAGAAAGGAAAGATGGAAAGGGAGAATGAGAAAGGAAAGATTGAAAGGAATCTATTAATAAATTCCTTCTTGCATATCTCTCCTTGAGTTTGTTTATTTACTCGACTTTATATTTATCTACAAGGATCAACTGTAAAAAGAAGTCTTGTCAGTTTCAGCCTTCGGAACTTTTATATAAATAGTGGGAGGGGAGGAGAGGGAGGGCGGTAACAAGAAAGTTCAACAATTCTTATTATAGACCCTAATTTCCTTTTTTCTATTTCAATGTTATAAAGTTTGATTCATTTTGCGGATCAGGATCTAGCTAAAATATTGCGGATCCAGATCCAGCTAAAATGTCCCGGATCCGGATCCAGCTAAGATGTTACGGATCCGGATCCTAAGCACTACTCAAAAATAAAAATTAAGCTGATCGACTTGATCCCAGAAATTGTGCTACCTCCCTTACGAATCCTGTCCATAATTACATGGATTCTACCTGCAAAGTGAACTACTATAAAGCATGTTCTTATTTTAACAGGAATGTGTGAACTGTGATTACTAAGACGGGGTTGGAGTGTGGGGGGTAAACGAAATGTATACTTCTCCGGATTTCGCGATAGGTAGTTAAATGGGCCAAGATTCAAATCAATATTGTACATGGATCTTTTATGGTATTGTTATATTTCATAAATAATTAATTACTTCCTTACCTACTTAATCTGTAACACATGGGTATAATTGGTCATGTGGGCGCAGCGCCCGGCCCCCAAGCCGAGGAACTGGGCCCCCTAGCCTGTCCTCATAGCCGCAGCGCTCGGCCCAGAAAGTGTCTTGACATAACCTTACCCTAAATATATACACTAATAATGTTCTGTTATGAGATCCATGTACACAATCGATAGGAAAGGGGGAGTCCAAATATCGTTCTATAGGACATACCCCATTCATTTGTATCTTATTAATAAGTGATTGGTCGAAAATATACTAATTTAATTTCAACTTGTTAATGGTTTCCTTTATTTTCAGAACTGCGACCGTGATGTAGAGAATGAGTGAAAAATGAGATTATTAATCTTGTACAGTTCAAAGTTCTCCCATCAGATGTAGAATAAATTGTGTATTTGATGACTGGAAGAGAATGAGCATGATGTATTCGACTAGTTCTGCAAATTACTTCAATTCCTATAGCTCGCTTGAACCAGATCATGCAATTAAGGAAAATATTCAATGTATTTAAAACATTTACTTTAATTAACCACCATCTATTTGTAGAATGACATTCTCGACATGGACATTGGACATCGCCCTTTAAACCTTTGTTAGATCATGGTTGGCATAGATCTTCTTACTTTTAAACCTGAACATTGAGTGCAGGAAAAGTACGTGCACACTGTATCCCTAGATTTTCAGCTAAGGTACCTGAGTGAATTGAACATGTCACTCTACAAATGAAGGGTCGCTTTAAATTGTGTCTACAGCCCCTTAACCCCCC